AGTAAAATTAGGGAACTCTTTTACAAAGCGCAGTATATAGGAGTCCCAACAGAATGTTTCTGGATATTTAACATAATGAATCTAAAATTAAGTTATTAGGGTCAATTAGATTGTTCTGTCAAAGCTGGGAAATATATTTTTAACATCAGAGTATATAATTAAATCACAGGAGTTAAGATTTTGCTTGACACCCCAGAGTTGGATGGTAAATAATTTTAAATAATATTACTATGCATAACTTTAATTCTGGAATACAGTAGAACCTCCAGTCACGACCATAAGTTGCTCCGTAACTTTGGTCAGAACATGATTTGGCTGTGACCTGAAATTTGGCATTTACCAAAAAAAAATTTTTTAATGGCGCAGAAGGGGAAATTGGCCGCAGCCACATTTGATTGTCACCTGAGTATGTGTTCACAACCAGATTCAAAACTTTTGTGGATTTTTTGGTTGGAACCCGATTTGGTCGTGGTCAGAAGCGTTCATGACCAGAGATTCTATTGTATGATAAAAATGTTTCAGGGATTAAAAGCAATGCAGATACTATGATAAGAACTTAATGTATTCTGAAAAAATCTACCAACTGATTGTCGCTCTAATATCAAGTAAAATTCCATCACTGTGACAAAATATTTTTTGTTTCTATTTTCAGCTTTCAGAGATTTTTTTGGTGCTATTGAATTCTTATTACTATGAAAATATTATTGAAGTTGAGTGTAGCAATTTTTCCCCTTCTTCATTTTGTGGGCGAGTGGTGGAAAGGTAAGAACCTTAACTTTCCCCAAGAATATTGAATTATCTGTCCTTTCAATCTTCAATGTATCCCTTCACGCTAATGTTCACTCATTTATGCACTAATACTAGAAAAACACTAATATGTTTTTAGTTTCAGTCAGGGCCTTCAGAACTTCCAGAGGCTCTTTTAAGTGCAGAGGATGAAGAGGAGGAGCCTCTTCTCAATGCACGGGCATGCAGAGCAGCAAAAAGGCAGAAGTGGTTCCTCAGGAGGAGGTCTCCTTGAGAGTAAGGCTTGGGGCTAATTGGCCACTCCCTTAGCCTATTTAAGAAAGAACGCAGCTTGCAACAAGCTACAGGAATCAACTTTAGTTCGCTAATCATTGCATTGGGATTTCGCTGCAACTTGCTTCTGGGCTTTTTGCCAACTCCAGTAAGACTCTGACTATCTTATCTGTGGAACTCTGGCAGGCTGTTAAGAATGCTTATTAACAGCTGGCATTTGCTAAAACTGTGTTATTTGAGTAAACTGAGTTTTGTTCAGAGTTTGTGTGTGCTGTGTTCTTTGGGATCCATAGCTGGGGCAGAACAATGTTATTATTTTAGGGTTTAATAACAGAATCTTGAAAAGTTGGCAAAGTTTCCTTCTGCTCCCTCTTGTATGAAAGAGAATCAAGGTGGGATTATCTTGAGTTTTTTCTCACCTGTTCTTGCTTTCCAGGCCCCAGTTGATGCTTACTTAATTATTCATGTATCATGTTATCTCTCCATACACTTCTACACCAGGGTGGATTTTACTGTTAATTCAAGTTAAGCATTGCCTCAAGCAACTGATACTAGAAGGTGCTGGAGAAAGTATTCACAACAATGAAGAAGTATTCACAACAATGAAGAAATGGCATGCGAAAGCTAAAGTCTCAACACAAACATACTCTTTTGTATTTCTGTCGCAAGTACATGATTCACAGGAATTGGGTGATCATGTCACAATGTACATTTTGTCACTGACTTTCTTGTCTCTCTCCATCCTCTTCACATACATGGTTGGAGGAAAAAGCTGTTGTCATATAACCTTGCATTTAAAAACCTGAGAAAAGAAAAAAAATGAGTTAACAATTCTATCCAATTTATTCTTGATTCAGTTTTCATTACTGATGCTTGTCTCTCAATTATTAGGGCTTTTGTTTTAACAGAATGTTCATCCCATTGTATTTACACAAATTGTTATCTTTATTTTTAATAGAAAAATTGTAGATAGTGGAAGATAGGCAAACTATTCAGTTACCTGATATTGGATTTTATATGTCCTTTCTTAGAAAAATCAATTTCTTGTTTCATTGAAGGCTTAGGTTCAGAATCACAAACATGCTTTTTTCCAAACAGTTGGTTTAGAAAGAAGGAAGGAAAGGGGGATCTTTACTGGAGACGTGATCTTTCTGCATTAAACTAAACAGGTGCAATAATTAGCATTTGGACCTAAAACTGGTAAAAGCCAGGTTGAAATCTCATTTGGAAACTTCATACATCTTTGAATCCATCCATTCAATCTAACTCAGAAGTCAGTTGTGAGGGAGAGAAAAATATATATTACTTTGACCGCTGGGGAAAAAAGCAAATTAATTAAAAGTTAGTTTTTTATGCAAGATCATCTTTGCATGAGCTTTTTATATATTATGAGACATCAGTCAAATGCTAATCATATATGTGATGTCTGTATATATTCAGTAGATTCCATCTTTCATCACACTACTTTGGGTTTCCTGTCTGTGATAGCTGATTCAGGAGATCTGTGTAGGGTTTTAGATTTGATTTTCAAAAGGAAACATGGAACATGATATGAAGGTCTTTAAAGTGGCTGGTGGCCACATCAGGGGTGGGTTCACTTACCTTTACTACCGGTTCACAACGGGAGCATGCGCGCATGCACAGATCATCCATGATGATGTTGTGGTGGAGGGCGGAGCCTCCTGCCGGTTTTACTACCGGTTCTATAGAACCGGACCGAACCGGGAGCAATCCACCACACTGGGCCACATATTTTCCTGGAACAATGTGATAGCTATTTAATACCTTCCTCATGCAGCTTCAGTTAAGGGTTGAACACAAGAGGTAGATTCCAGCTGTAATGATCTTAATAAACCTAATGTTGAAATACAAGATGCCACAAGTAGAGTAAGTCTATAACATACAGGTGATAGGACAGAGATGCCAACTTAGTTACCAGAGCTGCATGTACACAGACCCCTGCCAAATTTTAAGCCTGTCCTCCCCAGAAAATTCAAAAAGTTACCAACTTTTTTTCTAAAAATATACAAGAAAAAAATTCAATACATAACTGAGAAGTAATTATATTCACTGTAAGGTAAAGGTGCACATATCTGCTAGTCTTCCCAACTCTAGGGGGCGGTGCTCATCTCTGTTTCAAAGCCAAAGAGACAGCACTGTCCGAAGACGTCTCCATGGTCATGTGGCCGGCATGACTAAATGCCAAAGGCGTTATTCACTGTATTTTGGTTTAAATACTGTAAATGTATATTAAATTGGAATGAACTACATCATTTTTTATCTTAACTCTGCCATAATTTTTTGAAGCGTGGCTCCTTCTATACCACTCAAAGATCAAATGAAGTCTGACCAAGAAGAAGTTACACTACTTTAGTCTAGACTGGGCAAAAGGTTGGAAGAATGGAAAAAGCTAGTTAGCCAGAGCAGGTGGCCTTCCCAACCAGATATGATGTGGCAGAGAAATGTTCTATGAACAAATATTTTTGAAGGAGGGCTTTGTTAGCTTAGCAGCTATATCAACCAGCATCTTATCACAGGTTGATCAGAAATGATTGAAGCAATTGAGATAACAAATGTTTCTAGTTGACTAAGCTCATAGTCTGTGTCATGTATAGCAACATTAAGCTTCTACCTGAGTTCAGTAGAACTTATGTCCTTCTAAATGTGTCAGTGTGACTCCTGAAGGCATTGCACATCAATAAAAATTGACAGAGCTCGGTGGAAGTTACTCGGTGACAGAAAATTCATTTGCCTGTCTTCAAAACAAAGGCGAGCATCCAAAATGATCAATGCCACCATGAAGCTAATATTAAGTATGCAAATAATGGTAATGGAACTTGTCACCTGCCTGCAGCTTAGCAGGGGCTAAGAGGTTTAGCAGGCTGAGTCCAAAGTCCTCATTCCTTTAGAAAGAACCATTCTTCACCTGCCTGCACATGAATAAAACGTTTGCTCTTCTTTCTTAAAGCCCAAGGGTTACATTCAGCATCATGTGACCGAGCAGCTTGGAAATTAATTTACCTCGCTCAATGGAGCAAATTTGAGAGATGCACAGGAGGAGGGAGATTCAGTATCTATTTCACTGGCTGACAGACACAGTTGGATACAGTGTCTAAAATTACCTTTTTGGAGGTTTTTTTTTTTTTTAAGTACTACTACTCTACAATATAAAACTCTATTCTCCTTTAGGAATTCTTAGTGGACAGAAAATCAGGAAAACGCCTCATGAATTGAACTATTAATAAATAAGATTTTATTTATGGGACTTATTGGAGTGGGGCAATCTTTTTTTTACCTATGCGATTTAAAAACAAAGATTTAGAAACACCAGGCTTTAAAGAGTTCTCTTTGTATTGGATTGGTGGATAAATCCCAGGCACGAATATGCCTATCCATTTAAAATGGGAATGAGTATAAATTCTTAAAAGAAATTTAGCATGAAGCGGGGGAACTGAGATTTGCTAGCTTTGCTTTCTTTGCTGCATTGCCTTGATTATGTTGTGCAAAAAATAGTAATGGTGCACTGGTTAAGATTCTAGGTTGATGCTGATTAAATTTAAAATAGGACAGTTATGAACAGTGTACTGTAATGTAGGGAAGAAATGATAAAATGGAAAAAAGCTTCCTGGACGCAGTTTACTGCTCCAAGCCCCAAGCGGCAGGAGACAAGGGCTGGTGCAAATATACCACGGCAAAGGCCAAATGCTGATGCCGCCCAAATGCAAGTAGTGTTTCACTCCCGCACCTTCCAGCCATCGGCACTGCCGTTTGGGCCGTTCCCTATCCCCGCCACTTGGACCGTCCCCCATCCCCCCCCTCTCCTGCAACACCACCATTATCTTGTTCCAATCAGTGAGGGCTGTGCTCCTTTTTGCACATTGCACCACCTGCAAAGTTGCACATTGCATGTGCCACCCCTATGGAGGATATTTCCAGGCCCACCACGGACCGGTCCCATATCCCAAAGCTGTAGTACTCACAGGACTGGCCCTTTGGCCATCCTGGAGCAGCTTCTTCCACCCAGGTGCACTGGCCTGCTGTTGAGCAGGCAGCTCCACTGCAGGCCAGTGCACCCGGGTGGAGCTGCTCTGGGATGACCAAAGGGCCAGTCCTGTGACTATCACATTTCTGGAATATGGGACCAACTTTCCCACCAATGTCAGCAAGCCACCGTCTGCCCATCTTTGTTTTCCTTTATTCAGATTAACCAAGCTTCTTGAGAGAAGGAATACAAAAGAGGTTTCCAGGCTGTGTGCCTGGGCCAGGCACTTTCTCTCAGGCCTCCCACCTGGAGGCCTCGCAGAAGAAGAGAGGTAGGCCCAAAAGGCAGCTGAGCCTCCCCCCCACAGTGATCCGCAGAATTTAAAATTATGAACTTGGTGGTCCCTGAGGTCCAAAAGGTTGGGGACTCCTGGTCTAATAAATCATTGGAGTGAGCTTGTTTGCTTTGTGTCCTGTGTTTTGATTCTACGTTATCCATGTTGATCTCTCCTTCATTGTAGGTCAAACATCTTAGGAAAGCATTGATCCTGATACAGTAGAATCTTTGGTCACGACCATAATTCGTTCCATAACTTTGGTCGCAACCTGATTTCCCCATTGATTGTATGTAAATATGATCAATCTGTTCCAGACCGCTATGAACTGTATATAAATACTGTTTTTTTTAAAGATTTTTTAAACACAAAGATAATTAATTATGCCATAGAACTCAGTGCAATAGTAAAATGTAAAATCTTTTAATAACACTGATAGATCCTCCTGCCTTCCTCTTGGCTGTCTTAGGGGCCCAGCTCTCCGACAACCTGGGCGGGAGGGCAGGCGGGGTTTGGCTGGCCTGGCTGGCTTGCACAGCGTTCCTCCTGCCTTCCTCTTGGCCATTTTAGGGGCCTGGCTCTCCCACAATCTGGGTGGGAGGGTAGGCGGGCTTGGGCTGGGCGGCTTGCACAGCACTCCTCCTGCCTTCTTCTCGGCCCAGCTCTCCCACAACCTAGGCAGGAAGTCAGGCGGCCTTGGGCTGGATGGGCTGGCTCGTGCAGCACTCCTCCTGCCCTCCTCTCTGCAAGGAAGCCCTGGTGAGTAGAAGCAGCCCAACACACATTCTCCTTCCATGCTATGAAGCCAAGCGCCAGGATCTTTCTGTCATTGGCCTGCTGAGGCTGTGAGCTCCTGCTCCTGCTCCTGCTCCTGCTCCTGCTCCTGCTCCTGCTCCTGCTCCTGCTCCTGCTCCTGCTTCTGGAGCCGCCACTCTCTGCAGCTCCCAGAGGTCGCCATGGTGCCACTTCAACTGCCAGTGAGAACGGGATTAAAGAGTAATTTTAACATGGAATGGCAGACAAGAATCCTTGCTTGGGATTTGGGACTAAGAGGATGGGAGCTGGGAGTGGGGGGAATCCTGGCTTCCAAGCTGCCGGGATTCTCAACTGCAGAGCTTGCTTGACTCTGTTCCCAGCCCTCGCCACACACGCAAAACAACAGTAACAGAAAATCTGCAATCAAGGTTTCTGAGGCATCATACAGCTCTCCTGCAGAGGTAGGAGAGGGAGAGAGAGGCTGCCTGTCTGGGGAGAAAGTTAATCTTACAAAACAAGCAAGAAGCCAGCAAGAACAAGACTAAAGGGTAACTTTAACATGTAGAATGGCAGACAAGTTTGTTCAGCAGATCAGTACTTTCTCTATGATGTGGAAGGGGAAATCGGCCACGGCTGTGTTTGATCGCCACCCGAGTATGTGTTTGTGACCAGATTCAAAAATTTTGTGAATTTTTTGGTCGGAACCCAATTTGGTTGTGGTCAGAAGCCTTCGTGACCAGAGATTCTATTGTATAGAAGTTTGGATCATAGTTGGGTATGTAACATTTATACAGTCTTATTCAACTGATAGGTCAAATATTATCAAGTGAAATTTGATTACATCAATGAAATCATAATAATAATAAAAAGAACTGATCAACAAGCTTGATAGTGAATTATTAAAAATAAATATGGCAGTAGAAAACAGTATTTTCAAAACTTAGGGATTCTTTAAATTACATTTTTATTTCACAGTTCTTTTAAGATGGCCATGTTGGTCTATAGAAACACATCACTATTTTTTTTTACTACTAAAAAATGCTGTGGTTTAACAAAGTGAGAGTGTATTAAAGGGTCAGGGTCTTCTAATAATTTTCATAGATGAGTAAGGATTTGTATATTGATCTCACGCATCCTTGGATGACCTACTCCCTGGTTGACCATTCTAAATGGTCTGAATATGCCTACAACTATTCATGGAACTAGTAGAAGATGTTTTACTATGAGTATTCCAGAAAACTTGTATTGCACAGTTAATTAACAGTCAATTAAAATTTAAATTATGAATTGATGAATATACCAATGATATTAGTACCAATGATTTATGATATTTATACATTCATTTTAAGGTTGATTCAGCTGAGAATAAATGGCAGAACCAAGGTTACTGATAAATAGCATGATTAAAGGAGATACATTCTTTAAGGAATTAAGCATTGTTTCTAGAATCTGCTGCTTTTATGATACTACATAGCAAGTAACCAATGAAACATTTTTCTAGGAAGCTAGACTAGCATGTGATAATTGCAAAGTTGTAGCTTCCCCATTTTGGTAACAAATAATACAATAGTACAAAATAATATTTATAAAATTGCTTCAAATATATGACAAAATATGACGATCCATTCACCAATATACAATATCAACTGTTATTATCTCTGACTATATTTTACTAATCACATATTTACCATACCTAAAACATTTTACCCATATTCTAATTTCTAGAATTTTTTTAATTTCTTCTATTCTATTTACAAATCACCTAGAAATAGTAGAAGAAATAAATACTGATCACCAGTGGAAAAACTTATATTTGCAGAAACTGTTCCATTGAAGTATAAGATACAAGGAACAATAATATGGAAATTGAAATTAATAACAAAAATATTAAAACAATGTTCTGGTTTGCAAACTTTCTTTAAAAAATATTATTGATTGATTGACCTGAAAGAAAATACATCACATTCTTTCTCTGAACTTAATCTAAGGCATACTAATTATTTATAAACTGTTTAAATGTCTTAATTTTCAATACTTAGGTCTTGCCCCTTGCAGTGTGCAATGATAAATGCCATCCTGGATATAGCCGGAAAAAGAAAGAAGGACAGCCATTTTGTTGCTATGATTGTATCCAATGCCCAACAGAGAAGATATCACATGAAAAAGGTAAGAAACAGATCAGGAGTGAAATCTAAAAAATTTCCCTACTGGTTCTGTGGGCATGGCTTAATTAGTGGGCATGGCTTGGTGGTCAGGTGACTGGGTGGGCGTGGTCAATAATAGTAAAAAATAAAAATAATAAACAAAGTACACAAAACAATAAGAGGTACCAAAAACCAACTTTCATACTTTACACACACACACAACACAACGGACTCACATACAATGTAAAAGTAGCTGCACTTGACCCAAAATGGCCCCTGCAAGAAGCAGGAACTTCACACAGCCACAAAAAGCTCAGAAACCAACTTTCAACTTTACACACACACAACACAACACAACACAACTGACTCACACACAATGTAAAAGCAGCTGCACTTGACTCAAAATGGCCCCTGTAACAAGCAGGAACCTCACACAGCCACAAAAAGCTCAAAAACCAACTTTCACACTTTACACACACACAAAACAACTGACTCACACACAATGTAAAAGCAGCTGCACTTGACCCACAGCCCCAAAAAGCTCAGAAACCAAGTTTCACACTTTTTCCACATAACATGCCACATACAGCTTTATGAGATTTTGTGTGTTTGTGTAGTTAGAGTGAAACACTACAGAAACACACCAAATCTCAGAAAGCTGCACAAATATATTATTTTATTATTTTATTTTATTCATATTTTTAGATAAAAGCAGCTAAATTTAAAAATTCCTTAACTTTAAATTGCTATGTCTAAAAACAAATAAAACTCTTTTTAAAAAAACCAATTAACTATTTTTTCTAAAGCTCCACCCCAAAAAGAAAAACCCAGTTACTTACCCAATTGAAGGCACAAGGCAGGCAGATTCAGTTGCTCACCAATGAGATTGATTGCAGGCAGGTAGATTCAGTTGCTAGCTGATGCAATTGGTTGCAGGGATTGCAGCAGGCGAAGCAAGGCCGGAAAAGCGAGTGAGACGTAAAGAAGCAGCAAGTGGCCAAGCGGGCAAGTGGGTGACTGGGTGATTGGGGGGGCATGGGCAGGGGGGCAGGGATTTTTGCTACCGGTTCTCTGAACTACCCACCGCTATCATTAACGGATTGGACGATCCGGTCTGAACCAGGAGCATTTCCCCCCTTAAACAGATGCCTGCAGTCCTGCTTTGTAAAACTCCAATATGAAAACTTTCACTACTCAGCCAGACTCCTCCTAAGAAAGAAAAATAAGAATGTCTGATGAATTGTTTTTTTTTCCTTTATGACACTTTCTACTCTTAATCCCAATTCTAATCTCAATTTATATTTAATATTTTGTATATTTATTTATTATTGGCAAAGGACTGCCTGACTATATAACAATATTTCACAACTTGCAATGATGTTAATTTGAAAATTATAAATGAAGCAGAAGGTGTTCAACCAATCAATCTGGGGCTTCTGTTGAACCAGCAAGGCAAAACCATGCAGAAACGTGTGACTGTGTGACTGAGTCTGTGTGTCTATATGTTTGTATAGATGTTATGTGGCCACAGATGTACATGAATATCCAGTGGCATCTCATTTGCAAATTTGGTGTTTCTGTAACAAAAATCAATGTATGTTTTTTTTACTGAAATATTGAAATTATCCTCAATCATAAGAACTGGTTGCCTGAACTGGTTGAATTCATTACAATTAATTTGTCATCTTGATACATCCAACTAGTTTGATCTATATAATGAAGTATTTAAAAAGGAAAGCAGGAAGAAGGACAAGAGTTCACTTTTCTATTTCTGTTCTAGTTATTTAGCCAATTTCCGTGTGATATATTTGATGAACAGCAATGGCAACTACTCTGTTTTTCAGATTCGTATGATTGTTACAGTTGCCCAGAAGATCAATATGCAAATGAAGGCAGAAATCTATGTCTTCCTAAGATCCCTAATTTTCTTTCCCATCATGAACCTTTGGGAATCATTTTAGTTTCTTTGTCTCTGTTTTTTTCTCTGATCACAGTTTTTGTGCTAGGAATCTTTATTAAATACAGAAATACTCACATCGTCAAAGCCAACAATCGGGATCTCACCTACTCCCTGCTCATCTGTCTCTTCCTCTGCTTCCTTTGCCCCTTCCTATTCATTGGCCAACCACATGCTGTCACCTGCTACCTCCAACAAATATCTTTTGGCATCATCTTCTCCATGGCTGTTTCTTTGATATTGGCAAAAACCATCACGGTGGTTGTAGCTTTCATGGCCACCAAACCGGGAAGTAGAATGAGAAAATGGGTGGGCAAAAGATTGGCCAATTCTGTAGTTCTTTTTTGTTCTCTAATTCAAGCAATGATTTGTTCTGTCTGGCTCTATGTTGCTCCCCCATTCCCAGATTGCGACATTCATTCTTTCATTGAGGAATCTGTGATAGAATGTAATACAGGATCTCCCGTTCTGTTTTATTGTGTTCTGGGCTACCTGGGATTCTTAGCTGTCATTAGTTTCCTTGTGGCTTTCCTTGCTAGGAACTTACCCAGCACTTTCAATGAAGCTAAGTTCATCACTTTCAGCTTGCTGGTGTTTTGTATTGTCTGGATCTCTTTTGTCCCCACCTACCTGAGCACCAAGGGTAAATACATGGTGGCTGTGGAAATCTTCTCCATTTTGGCTTCCAGTGCTGGATTACTTGTTTGCATATTTTGTCCAAAATTGTATATAATTATTTTCAGGCCTGAACTAAACTGTAAGAAGCAACTAATAAAGAATATAAATATGTAATAAAAGGGCAAAATATATGGGCTGGAAGAAACAGTTTTAAGCAAGTTTCATTCATTTACATAGGTTCATTAGTTTTTCCTGCTATTACAGCTATTTAAAACCTAAGAGAAGCAAGTTTAAAAATATAGTAATGTCTCAAACTGACATTTCAAAAATTGCTTCATTCTTTCTACTTTTAGGAGAAATAACTAATTTGGCTGCCTATGTAAGCTATAATTCTTGAAATGTTAGCAAATATTGCAGAAATAGAAAAAAAACTTTAAATTAGGAATGAGTTAAACAATAATCTTTGGGTTAAAATTCTTGATAGTTCATATATGTCACTGAAATCAAAGAGAAAATATCTGATTAATTTAAGGTTCTTCTATATCTAAACAATCCATGTTTAGCTGAATCAGGATGTAGTCCAAGTATGTCTGCATGTGAAAAGGGGAGCGGCCTCATTTGCACAGTTGTGGATGCATTTTTGATTTTTGAATCATCTGTGGCTACATTGATCCAATCTATTAAATGACAGAATAAAAACTCAAATCAGTTTAATTTGTTTCTATACCTAACCACAATGCAAAGTGCTCCTGATGTATGGGGCAACGTAACAAAAAACATCTCACATCATCACATTATTGCAAATACAACACAGGTGCCTCAAAAGAAAAAGAAAAAAAATATTCTGCACCGGTACATTCACAAACAGAAAATGAGCAACTAGGTTAAATGTTTTCCTTCTTTTAGTACAAATGCGCAAACTCGGTTCTGCCACATATTTCTTCAAATTCTCAGGGCCATTTGGCTGACGGGAAACAGGCTTTTGCCTAAACTTCGCCAGCAAAAGGAACAATACTCCGGATCCGGGTTAAGAAGCCATTCTGAAAGAAGAAAAATCACGCGAATCGTGTTCGTTTCTCGACCCGAAGGTAGGTAAGAATTACTCCGCAAAATCCCCCCTTGAACCAGGTTGGACTACAACGTGGGCAGATTGTGAAAACCTGAACCGGGATGAGATCACCATTTCGCCATCTATGCGTCTTTTAGTGGTTTCGGCTGCAGCTTCCGTCAAATCCTGACAGCAAAATCATAGGCTGGGGGGGGGGGATTAGGAGAATTAAGAGTCCTGGACGGTGATGGTGAGCTGTGGGAATTGTGGGAGTCCCGTCACCCACCTTCCATACTGAGGGTTCCTTGGTGCTCTCTGAATTAGCTTTCTTGCAGACGTTTCATTACCAAAGTAGGTAACATCGTCAGTGCTAGTCGTTGATGTTGCCTAGTTTGGGTAATGAAACGTCTACAAGAAAACAAGCAAGCTCAGAGAGCACCAAGGACCCCTATGTCAACACCTGAGCTACAAATATTCTTCTTTGTTGGCACCTTCCGTATTGGATTGTGGAAGGGAGGGTAGAGTAACGGGCATTTCCAAGGATGACGCTGAGTCCACGTTGGGTGTAAAACGAGGGACGGAGGAAAGACTGAAAAGCCAAGCTATCTCCCCGCAGGGATTGCAATGGTGTGTTTAGCAGCCTCGGGATTAAAGGAATTTTAAAAGGCTCGCCGTTGCGGTTAATGTTTCCAAAACGGAGGAAAAGAGGGAGCAGCCACAGGGCTAAGAGGGAGTGGTTCCGTCAGGCGCAGATCCGGAAGCGAGACTCCCACGGGTTGGTACTTCCCGAACGAGGGGCGGGGATATTCGGGAATTTCTGCAGAAAACCTGCGCTTTCGCTTTCGGCTGGGTTGTAGTCAAAGAGGAAAAGGCGACAGTGTCCAGAACCTTTAAGGTAGGCAAAATTATCTTTGGAGTACCGGAGCGCTTTCTTGCATCTTTCAAACGACTACCATTTATACTGCTTCGCCTACAGGAAAAACAAAATAGTGTTAGCTTGCCTTCCCGATAAATTACTGTCACGATCTCCTGTTCTGGGTTTTTTGCCAACCACCGTTGTTTCCCAACTCCACCCCTTTACACTGAAGTTTCCCAAAGAAGCAAGCAACTTCTATGCCCTTAATCCACCTAACTCTTAATTTCTATTTCTCTGTTCTTGGTCAATAATATCTTGTTCCCCTAATCATATATATATAGTCTCGTTCCCAGGGCCGGATTTAGATGAAAAGAGGCCCTAGGCTATTCCACTTATGAGGCCCTTTCACCAGTGGTGGGATTCAATTTTTTTAACAACAGGACTGTGGGCGTGGCTTAGTTGGGGTGTGGCTTGGCAATCATGTGACTGGGTGGGCGTGGCTAGCTGGTCACGTGACTGTGTGGGCGTGGGTAGCTCGTCATGTGACCGGGTGGGCATGGCTATGTGCATAGACTTTTTTCAGAGGGCTGAAAAAAGTCATTTCTGACTGGGCCTCGCACTTTTGACCAGTCCTCACACTTATGACCATCCTCACATTTATGCCCGTGCAGCTTTCTTAACAACCATGTCACTCATTTCACAACTGCTTCTCTTCACCATGGTGACAAGATAGGGCAAAAACATAAAATGTGAGGACAGTCGTAAGTTCGAGGACTGGTCAAAAGTGTGAGGACCAGTCAAAAATAACTTTTTCAGCCCTCTGAGTAGTCCATATGCACAAAAGGATACAGCATTAGAGAGGGATGAAGGAAGGGAAGGGAAATTAGAGTAGGAGGGAGGGTAAGAGAGGGAGGAAGGGAGGAGGAGAAGGAGAAAGGAAGAGGAAGTAGGGAGGAGAAGAAGACGGGGAGGAAGAGAAAGTAAGAAGGAAAGAAAGAGAGGTGGTAGGTTTGAGGAGAAAGATTGCTGTACAATAAAAAAGATGAAAGGGAAGAAAGCCAACCCCAAACAAATATAAAGATATTAAGATAAAGAATGAATTGTTAAACTTTAAAGAATAAAAGAGAACAAATATGAATTAATAGCAATAATTAGAAACACACATACAAACATACAATGTATTTTCTTTGAACAGAGTATTTGGCCGGTTCATAAATTTAAACAGTGTTTAGTCATTTCAATTAAATTTACAATTTCTATATTTCCTTTTTGCCATATTTAGTCCTCATCTATTTTTGTAAAAAACCAATATTACCCTTCATCCTCATCTCTAATCTTAATCAAATTCAATTTTTCCCTTCTATTCTATATTATACCTCTTCCCATTGTCATCTATTTTTATATCCATCCTTACATTGGTTAATTATGTAATATTACAGTTGTTTAATATGAATTCAACATTTTAATATAAATCAATTAGTTATATAACTACCTTTTTTGTATATTAATCAATATGAACATGAATATTCCAATTATTTCCATGCAATCCAATTTCTTACAAATCAATTAATTATATTTACCAATAATAATAAACCAAATAATTTCCCCCATATATTCCTCCAAACCACAACTTAACCATTTCTGCTTTCAACACAATATACAATTAATAGTATCTCAATTATTACAATTCCCTAGTTAAATAGAGCTTTTTTTCTTTTGTGTTTTAAAATCTCCTCTTTTTCCCTAAATTTCATGTTGTTTGCACCTACCTTTTTTGGTGAGGAAAAAGAAATCTGCCTGCCTAATTTTCCAACGTGCAAAGCCAACAGCCTGCTTTACTTTCTCTTTCGTTTTTCAGTATAACTAGGGGGAAAAAAATCTGCACTCTTTCCAAGCAAGCAGCAGAGCTCTGAGCAAAACAGTTGAGAGCAAATCAGCTGGGGGTCGGGAGCCGATCTAAGCAAGGGCTAATTAGCCTATGCTGAAGCTCCGTGGGCCAATAAAATTACAAAAAAACCACCGAACCCTTTGTTAAATTGCTGGCTCCCCCGCCCCTCGCCCACCACTATTTATTGGCAATAAATAGTGGTGCGGAGGGGCGGGGCAAGCCAGCAATTTAACAAAGGGTTTGGCTGCACCACTGGCTCTAGGGCGGCCCTTTGAAGCCCCGCGGCAAGAATTTGAAGGTTTTTTTTCCTCTAGCCATCGGAGGCAGCAATAGATGGGGAGTGGGCGGGGTAAGCGAACGGCCGGCGATCCAACAGAGCAGAGAGGGAGGGTGAGTGAAGGTGTGGAAGCTGCTTTCTCCATCCTGCTCTCTTGCGTCCCGGAGCCGGTGGGGAACCACGTGGCAGCCCACGTGGATCCCAGGCAGCGGAACTCAGGCTAGGGAAGGGGTGGGCAATTGTCAGCCAAGCTGTCTCAGGAATTCTGCAAGTTGAAGTCCACAGGTTGTAAAAGAGCCACAATTGCCTACCCCTGGCTACGGTAGGCTGGCGCCGCGCGGGTGGGAGGCGAGGGGCGGGCGAGCCAGCAATTTAACAAAGGGTTCGGCCGAACCCCCTAGAACCCCCAGAATCCCACCACTGTGTAGGCCCCTCTTGATCTTGAGGCCCTAGGCTGAAGCCTAGTTAGCCTATAGGAAAATCCGGCCCTGCTCGTTCCCCTAATCACATATATAGTTTCTAATATTCTGGCTCCTCCTAGTGAACTAAGAAAACAGACAGAAAGGCACGCATACCTTCCAGTCAACATTGACTTCTGGCCGCTATCTGGATATGGCTGACTAAGTAGGGAAACTGAGGAAGCCAATTTCCGCTCAAGATCAAGGAGAATTAAAAATGAAGTTCTGTTGCTGCTCTCAAAAGAAAGTACCCATACCCATACATAACACATATTTACACATTATATATACTTTCTCTCTCTCTCTCTCTCTCTCTCTCTCTCTCTCTCTCTCTCTCTCTCTCTCTCTCTCTCTAATATATATATATATATATATATATATATATATATATATATATATATACATACACATACACATACACATACACATATATATACATGTAATATTACAAACTATTCTATAGTTTGTTATAGAATATAACAAATTTAATATATTACTACATGTAATATATATACACATATACATCATGTATGTATGTATGTATATTGTAGGTTTTATGTGTATGTCTCTAGCCAGGTTCTACCTAAGTAAACCAAGATATTATGTAGCCCTAGTTCAGTGAAATCACAATTCGCTAGTTTCTGGGCTTTCACTGAACTAGGGCTACATAATATCTTGGTTTACGTAGGTAGAACCTGGCTAAAGAGACATATACACACACACACACACACACACACACACACACTGTGTGTGTGTGTGTGTGTGTGTATCATTTTGAATACATAAAGGAAAGAGGAAACTTTAGAGTTAAAAGGTTGATACTATACAGAACAAAACTGTGATTGAATCTGGATGTTCTGCTTCGGATACCACAAAGCCCCCTCCCAGAAGGTAACAAGGAAAACAGGTCGTGAAGTGGATGTGTAACGTCCCAGACAATACTGTGGACTCTGCTCAAGCATCGCTTACATGCTATGTCCTGCATAGTAAGAAGTGAACTGCCAATAATCTTCTCTGCCAACTTTACCACTCTCTGCACTACCTTCCTGTCTGAAGCAGGATGGGCCTGGTGGCTCAGCAGACTAATAGAATTGTGATTAACACCAGCTGTCTGTAATTACTGTAAGTTCGAATCTCACCAGGCTCAAGGTTGACTCAGCCTTCCATCCTTTCTAAGGTAGGTAAAATGAGGACCCAGTTTGTGGGGGCAATAAGCTGACTTTGTATAAATATACAAAAGTATGAAGGCTATTGCTTAACGCATTGTAAGCCGCCCTGAGTCTCCAGAGAAGGGCGGCATATAAATCAATTTTTTTTAAAAAAAGCAGTAATACTGTATTAACTAGTTTCTCCTACTTCATTACCGTATATGTTGACTATCCTTGGATGTGGTTTTTACTACGCTACTGATAAACTTCATTCTCCTCTAGACCGTGAGTATCTGGAGGCTCCTAACCACTGTTTGAGGTAAATATCATGTCACCTTAAATTTCTACTTATGGGCTGGCCTGCAATGTATTTTAACCAAGTGTTAAAGCCGCATCCTAACAGTAGTCTGTATAAGAGACATTTGTGGTCAGCCTATATGTGTCAGCTGTTGCTGGCAGGTGTTAAAAAAGTAGCAAAGGCACATTCTGGCTGAAATTCATCTGTAGCTTACAAATGCCTCTGATTGTTAATAAACTAGTAATTAGGCAAATTTCCAGTCATCTTACAATATTGCTGCAGTTCTCTTGGCAAAATTTTGGAACCGGTTTGCCATTGCCTCCTTCTTAGGGCTGAGAAAGGCTGACTGGCCCAAGGTCACCCTGCTGGCTCTATACCTAAGGTGGGACGGTCTCCCAGTTTCTAGCCGAATGCCTTAACTATTGCACCAAACTGGCTCTCTGAGAATTTACTGTACCATATATCTGGAATTTCAACACAGCCCTCAGCCTGCATTGGACTATAACATCCATATTCCAAAGTAGGCTTCTTGGAGATTATGGGAATTGCAGTCCAACAAGATCTTTAATAGCATCCGGTTGGAGAAATCAGGTCTATGGCAAGTGGTTCTGTCCTCAGCCCCTACCCAGGCCCATTTCATTTCCAAATGCTTATGCAAGCTGAACTTTCAAAACCTGTGACTGGTAGTAGACACTAGGTGGATTCCTGCTGCCTAAAGAAAGTGAAGAATGAGACAGAATGTGTATTAGACTAGTGCTGAGCAGCCAATGTTTCCATTCCAATTGCTATCAAGAAAATTTTCCCATCAATCAGAGGATGATGCAGTTGTTCAGGGTATCCATATTGTATCAGAAATCTCTGCTGCAGATATGCTTATTGTGTAACAGAGAAGCAATTTAATTGAAGTACAGCAATATTTTAGATGTTTGCTTTCTCCTTTTTCCCCTCCCCTTTAAAATTCCTGATTAATGCCTCATCTGTTTGTAGTGACTCTTTTTCATCTCATTTTGTTGGTTCAGGAACAGAAAACTTCAGTTATAAAGTTCATATTTTGCATACTTAAGTCCCTGATCAAAGCCCCTTGTCTTCTCCAGAGTTGGCTAACAGCCAGGCCTAAAATCTAGTAAATTCACTGCTCTCAAGAAGGACTTCCAAGAATCTAGTGAACCTCATAAATCAGAGCAAGGAAAATGGCCAGTTGTTACACTACAGTTCCAATAACTTCTGATAATTAATGATGTTGGCATAGGTTTATGGGAATCAAACAAGCTGTGGAAGGCTACAATTCTTAGCTTTAGCTTAGATTGGTGTATTAAATATTTGGAAAATCTTACCTTGATATGTGTAGGGAGCCACAGATATGACTATGGAGAAGCCACCTAGAAGCTGTTAAGACAACAAATGGAGAAGGAGCTGCATTAAAATATATTCTAGACTTCTGGTGGAGTCATTTTTGTGACCTGTCTTGGTCTACCTTATAAGATGACAATAAACAATTACATTATAGAAATAATATCTGGCTTGTGTTTTTTGCATTTGCTGTTATCTCTTATATCAAATTATCCAAAAAAGTCATGTCATGTAGCAGGAAGTGATAGCAGCTGTTATCTATTTGCACTTATTTTGAAATCTGCTCGGCTAAAGAAGAGCATGAAAATATTTTCTCTCCAATCCTTCTCATAGAGATAGCTAAAGTGTTGTTTGTTTGTGGTTTTTATAATTTGGATGATGTTCAATCTCAGTGGCTTTTAACAGAACAGAAAAACTATTCCTTTGCAGTAATGGATTCTGCTGAAGAAAGCAAAGTTTTAGCCGGTTTTAGCTGCATGAATTCATCCAGCTTCTCTGGATGAATTCACAAACTGAATTAAACTACAATATGGCTTGTTTAATTTGGCTTATCGTGATGCATACAGGGTCAATAAATAACCCATGATTTTATAGACGTAAACTAAGATCTCAGAAATCCCTTGTTGTCCTATGATTTGATTATTCAATTATTCTCTGCTGGCTTTCTGATTGCAAATGTGACATAATGGACAGTGCAAACAGAGAAACAAGGTTATTCCTGGTTTGTGTTATGGCCCCATCAAACCTCTAGCTAATTCACAGAAGACGCAAAATAACAATGGCTAAAAATGAAAGAATTCACTACCAGGAATAGGCCAGATGAGCCATTTTGCTTAGCTAAAATAGTCCCTGTACCATGTCAGAAAATCATTCTTTTTCCAGTTTAAATGACTTATAAATGATGTGGGAATATACTATTCTCTTAAAATAAAAAAGGGTAATATTTTTTGTCTTCCACAGTTGGTGTGCCTTGTTTCTCCTCCGTAGAGCATCAATTATGCATCGATGTGGCCTTCTCACATCCTCTAAAGTGCCAGGTAAACTGAGTATCTGATTCCTGGTTAAGGTTGAGTAAAATGGAAAGTTGCATAAAAAGGAAACTATGATGTCTTTGAGTTTATGATTTTAATTCTATAGCTTTGCAGGTCATTTGTATATTCTGCTCTTGAAGAGTATCTGGACCTTTCAGCTGGTGCAAAATGCAACAAAATAGATAGCTTTATGTGCTCCAAGACCTGCATAATTTTTTTTTTTTAATAGACTTTATTGAGATTTTTTACAGAACAAAAAGGAAAAAAAATGAGAAAAACAAACAAACAAACAAACAAACAAAACAATCATTCAAACAATAACATAAAACACATAAATATAATAAACATTTTTCAATTTGTATCGGATATGCAGTGTTTTAACTATTTACATAAATAATACTTGTTGATATTTTGACTCACTTTTAACCAATATTTAACACACCTTTGATCTTTCTTCCATTTTATCATGCAACCACTTGTACCACCTTTCCCACACCATATAGTATACTGACTTTTCATTATTTAATTCATAAGTTAATTTAGTCATCTCTGCGCACTCGAGTATTTTCTTAATTGTAAGCTCTTCTGGTGGTTGAATTTTCTCTTTCCAAAATTGTGCATATGCCAATCTAGCGGCTGTAATTATATGGATCATTAAATGTGTCATTTCCTTTCTATATGGCTTCTTTATTATTCCCAGGAGGAAAATCTCTGGTGTTAGTTCAATATCTTCCCCAATTATTTCGTGTAACCATCTCCTGATCTTACTCCAATATCCTTTCGCTTCCGGGCATGTCCACCACATGTGAAAGAAGGTGCCTTGGCCATGGCCGCATTTCCAACAATTGGGATGTATATTGGGATATATCTTCGCTAGTCTGGCCGGGGCTAGGTACCACCTATGAAGCATTTTGTAATGATTTTCCTTATATGCCACCGCTCTAGTCAATTTAAGATTTCTATTCCATGCCTCCTCCCATTCCCCGAAATTTATATTGCACCCTATATTTTTCTCCCATGCAATTATTTGATTCTTTGTAACCTCTTCAAACTTCTCATCGCTTAGCAGATAATTGTATAATTTTGCCAGAATCTTTTTATTTGTTCCCATCAGAACTTTGTCCAATCCATTTGGTCCCGGTTCTATACCATATTGTTCTTTGTCCCTCTGATATCTGGATTTTACTTGTGAGTAGGTCCACCAATCTAAGGTTATTCCTTGCTCTCGTAAGGTATCATTTGGTTTAAGCCTCCCTCCTTCATCTAGAATATCTTTATATCTGGCCATTTTCTCCCTCTCCCACCTATTTGGGTGAGTCAGGGCCTCCATCATTGAGAGCCAATTTGGGATTTTCTTGTAATGTTTTTGTCTGATCTGGGTCCTGTGAGCATCTGCTTTGGTTTGCCAGTTTGCTTCCTGATCCAGTTCAAGATTCTAATTAGAGGTAGTCCTCGACTTACGATCACAATTGAGCCCAAAATTTCTGTTGTTGAGGCATTTGTTAAATGAATTTTGCCCCATTTTACGACCTTCCTTGCCACAGTTGTTAAGTGAATTACTGCAGTTGATAAGTTAGTAACACAGTTGTTAAGTGAATCTGGCTTCCCCATTAACTTTCCTTGTCAGAAGGTCGAAAAAGGGATCACATGACCCAGGTAACACTGCAACCGTCATTAATGTGAACTAGTTGTCAAGCATCTGAATTCTGATCACGTGACCATGAGGTTGCTTCAAAGGTCATCACGAGCCACTTTTTTCAGTGCTGTTGTAACTTTGAACGGTCGCTAAATGAACTGTTGTAAGTCGAGGACTACCTGTATAACTTTTCAAACCTTACATGGCACAGGAACAGGTTATTTGAGGGACCGCCTCTCCCCAACTCCAGAAATGGCACGCTGTGGGTTCAGTCAGGCAATGAACTTGGTTTAGCAGTGAAGGCCAAATATGTCTTTTTTTAGGCTTGCGCCTCAGTATGCATATTTTCCAATGAGATAGACTGAGACAGGAAGATTTTTTAATGACAATTTATCAGAGTATTCAGACAGAGAGGATTCCTCTCATTCAAAGAGGGGGAATCCAGATCCTTATCTTACATTCCATTTTATAATTAACACCACAAAGATAATGCAAAAGGAAAAGTTGATTGGACAGATAAAATAAAAGAAACACCTACAGTAAATCAGCTACATATAGTCAAACATGTTACATGTATGCCCATTTAAATGAGATCTGGTATCAGAAAAGGCGTACATTTTAAGATGTTAGCAAGGAAAAGGTTATTTGGAGTTCATGAAGAGACAAACCAGACGCCAGCCAATTAGCAGCTAACAAACTTTTTTTTATCAGGAGATAATTTCCAGCTCTCCCTTCTATACTTTATCTTTTCAATTTAGAAATGTTAGAAACTATCAATCAATCCATACAGCAACAGGGTAAAAACTTCTCCTACATTCCAGCCTGTAATGAGCTTTAGCGCCATTTTAAAAGAGAGGAAAAATAAGTTAAATTAAAATAACAATGTTAGTTAACAAAGGAAAACGTTTTTTAGGTCTCCCTCAGTGGGATAGCAATAGCACTTAGACTTATATACAGCTTCACAATGATTTACAGCCTCTCCAGGAAGAGAGCCTTTCTATTGGGGCAACCACCCTTTGGAACAATTTTCCCCTGAGGTGAAGCTAGTCCCATCCTGCAGGGCCCTCAAAACCTGTATATGCATCTAACTTGTGAATCCCATGCAATTGTACAGCCCCTTTTTGTTACTGTAGTTTTTGCAGTTTTTAATTGGATTTGATCATTGGATTTTGTGATTTTTTGTTTTTTAATTATGTATGGTGCCCAGGGTCACACATGTGAGATGGGTGGCCATATAAATCCCATACATTAATAATGATTTGGGGGTTACAGATCTTGGAGTAGGGGCATGACACCTACAAAAGACATCTTACCAGCCAGCACTTTCAACTATTAACTCTTAGCGCAGGGTTTTCTGCTCTGGGCCAGGCCGGATAGTGAGTTAACTATCTTCTTTTTGTTATTTTCCACACCCCAGTGCCTTTGAAAAGCATTTCTGTGGATGTCACTATACGAGGTTTCGTGGCTGACGTAGTATCAGAACTGCAGTACCAGAATGAGGAAAAGAATCCAGTGGAGGCCACCTTTGTCTTCCCTCTGGATGATGAAGCCGCAGTCTATGCCTTTGAGGGTCTGATTGGTGGGACACGGATTGAGGCCCAGATCCGAGAGAAGAAGCAGGTACAGAACACTAAAAAACATTTCAGAATACAAGGATATAGTTTTGGGAAGGACTAAGCGGTTATATTGCTGCACCCAGATTGTATCTACAAGTCACAATCAGCTATGCTAAACAGGCTTAAATACATTTCCTTCAGGTTTGATATATTTTCTTGACAACGTTTGTTTCTCTACTATAATGAAAGGTAAGTGGTGGTAGGAATAGTGTAACTTCCCACACATGTGAATGTGTTTTTCATTTGAAAGGAAGACTATCTGGAAAGGTTACTAAACTCGGTGTCTGATAATTAGGTGCATGTAATCTTCTTGACAACACTATGAAAGTGAATTGCCATTGCTGGCTGGGATTTTTTAAAAAACCCAAGTCCCAGAGGCACTTTATTTGTGACCACTTTAATCAGTGATCTTGTCCTGTTCTTGCTTCTTTCTCCCTCTTCTTCAACACAGGCCGAGCAAGAATACGAAGATGCCCTGAGTGAAGGCCGCCAGGCTTTCTTGCTTGAGAGAGAAGAAAATACCAGTGACATTTTCATGTGCAACCTGGGCAATCTTCCTCCTGGTGAGGAAGCCACACTGAAACTGCGCTATGTTCAAGCACTAGTGGTAGAACCAGATGATGCCGTCCGTTTTGTCCTGCCAGCTGTCTTGAACCCCCGCTATGTTCCTGCAGGTAACTAACTATATTCCCAAGTTCAGCATGAAGCCCCCAAAGCAAAGCTTCCAATGGTTTCCTTTCCTGCTCTCCCTTCTCAATGGTGTCAAGCACTGGGACAATTAACTCAGCTTCATCCTAAAAACCAACAGCTGGGGCTGGATTCATACAAGACATGAAGGCATAATGTACAATGCTTGTACAGGAGTTAACATGTTCTGTACATTCTTTGGGGATGTGAAATTAGCAGGATTTCAGTCACATTGTGCAAACACAGCTATAGTTTGCCATTAAAACAATAAACTCTTGAAGTAAGAAGCTTGAGAAAGAGGCATGCTGCCATTGATTCTTTCCATTTAATGTTAGCATTTTCTTTATTTTTACTAACGGATACAGCTCAAAATGGTGTGCAGTTACTACACCAGACTTTTGCAAGATGGTGCCCCCCAGATGAGTAGAAGAAGGTACAAAGAACTTGGAAACCTTCAGCTATCATATCTCATTATTTTCCTTTCTAAATTAAAAAATACTAATATAAAGTGCGTTTCTTCCCTTCCTATTTTCTTCTCACACCATCTTCATGAAGTAGGCTGGATTTTCAGGCTGGGGGACTAGGATACAATTACATGTCCTCCAATTTGAGCAGGATTCCTTATGGCTTCATGGACACTTCCTTTTCTTGGCAGGAGTGATTTACCATTGGTTACTTCTTCTTTTTTTTATTCAAAAAGTTTTTTATTTTATAGACAAACAAACAAACAATACGTAATCAATCAGTCAACATATCTTCTAAATACATCTTTTGTGTCTTTTTTCTGCTCTTCCAATATTTATCATATCTTAATATCATCATTTCCTTTATTATAACATTTTCCCCACTTTTTTTACTTCTCTATTAATACATTTATTAATAATACATTTATTTATTAAACTATCTTTTAATTTTATTAAAAATTAGACAACCATTTTATCTCTACACAACCTTCAACCCCCCCTTCCCCACCCCCACTCCCGACTTCCCAGAGCAAAAACAGGATATAGCATTAAACAAACATAAGCTAAAATATACTAACTTACCACAAGATTCACAACCCCCTCACACTCTTTAACTCCTCTTTTGAAAATTGTTCATCAGCCTCCCCTTTTAGGATTCTAATTTAAACATTTTAAAACTTTCTTTAAAGCATATATTTTAAGAAGAAAAAAAAATATTATTTTATATCCATTCAATTTTAAATTAGCCATTTTAATACAGTAAGTTTTTTTTCTTAAAAAAACACTTCAATAGAATATTCTTCACAATATAACCTTAAAAATACTATTAATCCATTTAGTTAAATTATTTCTAACTCTTGAGTTCCTCCTTCAAAATATCTGTTTCAAAACTTTCAGAAAATTATCAATTAAGTTTAAAGTTAACCATTTTAATAACTTGATATTTTTTTAAAAAGCTATCCATTTTAGTTAAACATTTTTACTTAAACTTAAAAGATACTCATTTCAGTAGACTTTTCAAATTTAGTATTAAAATCCTCCCCAAAAGAAACTAATCTTCAATTCTTCCTTTCTTTCTATATTTTTTCCAGTCCTTCTTCTGCAATAGTACTTTCTTCAACATTGCTCCTCCCCCTACTTTTATTTTTGAATATAGATTTGAGGCTGATGCATCTTTGGACATTGTTCTCTTCTAAAAGTTATCTCCTTCAATTCAAAACCTCCATTTCGACTCTTCCTGCTTATATAATCAGTCACTTCCTTCTTTATTTAAAAGTTCTTGTAAAACCTTTACAGTCACAACTTGTGAATTTGCTGGCTCATATCCTCCATCCTTGATGTCAGCCATAGTTCAATTTCCACTTTAAATTTATTCAGCTATCAGGTCAATAAATCCAATAATTTTCACACAATTTAGAAGTATAAAGTAGTTAGAGTCAATACCATAGTCGTTTTCATTTCACTAGCACTTTAAATCCTTTTTCTTACCGGGTAATCCAGTAGTTTTTACAGCTTTTAACAATCACTTTCACTTATAAGTTTCGTTTTTGCCGCCCTTAAGCGCCATCTTTTTTTCTTTGTTTTAAACGGCGTTAAAGTTTAATACTTGCATTTTCTGTTCTCCTGATTTTGCTCTGCCAGCATCCAGATTCAAATTTTAATCCTTAAAATTGCACTGCTGGTGTGGTCGCGACCCCTTGTTCTGCATAAAGCAGAATCATCCCGGATCCGGAGCACTGAAGGGCTTTCAGGGAGCTCTCACCCTGCAAACCCCAAGCTTAAAAAAAAAAAGCCTGGGGGTCTAGGGGAGCTCTACCCAGACCCTTCTGCTCTTCTCTCCCCCTTTTTCCCTGGGGGAGAGTTCCAAGCCGCTAGAACAGCTGATTTTCGCTGTTCTAGCAGCAAACGGAATCACAGGGCTGGAGCTACCATTGGTTACTTCTGTGGTAGCCAAGTAGTAATCATATCCCTCCCTGTGTAGCTTTGGAGTCCAAGCAAAGCATCTGCTGGAATCGAAAATTAGAGTGAAGATTGTGGCCATATAAGGCTCTGAACCTGAGCTTAGTCCAACCTAATAAACCCAGCACCACAGTGCCACTTTCCTGTTTCAGGTGGTGTGTCCTGCTGCCCCAGATTCTGGGAATCCCCCAGGAACCTCCCTACTTTCTATAGACAGAGCCTCACATGTGTTTTCTGTTAGCAGGCTCAGAAGGGAGCACTGTTTTCCAGCAGATACCACGGGTGTCCAAAGAAGCTCTGCCTTACACCCTCAGCCTCAGTGCCAAGGTGGAGTCCCCCTATGGCATCAACCGGGTGGACTCAAAATGCAGTCTTACACAGAATATATCAGAGGATCGCACTGCTGCCCAGGTGAGGCTGTGCGGGATCTAAAAATTAGGATTGGGAGAAACTTTGGGTAAAAAGTATTTTTCCAACACCTGCACACTTCATACACCACATCAGTAGTCTGCATGAACCCAACAACCAAATGAAATACAGGATTGTTCACCCCATTTGAACTGACTTTTAGAAGAAAAAAACAAAAATAGGATGTGAGATTAAGACTGATGCTGAAAAGCAGTGGTGCTGCTGCCCCAATAGAGGGCTCTAAATGCATAGGAGCTGCCAGATGTACAGTAGTTCCTTTTAGAACTGCTGAAAATTTTTGGTCTGCTGTGAAGTAAGAGCTACAGGTAATGCTCAACTTAACAACTGTTCATTTATTTAATGATGATCTAGAGTTACGATAGCCTAGGAAAGGATGCTTTACAGCAGGGGTGTCAAATTTGAATTCATTGAAGGCTGCATCAGGGTTGTGTTTGACCTTGTGGGGGAGGAGTGGGTGTGGCTAGGGTGGCATAGCCAGCTTGATGTCACTCATGTTAGGGGCACCTGTGATGGTCCATGTGCTCTGCCAGAGAAAATGGGCTCCCGAGCTCCATTTTCAGCTGCAATGGCCTCCTGCAACTCTCTGCCGGCAAAAACAGAGCATGGAAGGGCTGCAGAGGCACCGTGGGCCAGTCCTTCACTGTTTCCAGGGCGGCACTGCAGGCCAGATCTAACGCCCCCCCATGGGCCTTGAGTTTGACACCCCTGCTTTAAACCATAAAGCATCTCTGGCCATTACAAAACCCCAACAGTCACATGATCACTGTCTGGATGCTTGGCAACCTGACCACACTTACAACCAGTTGCCAAGTACCTCTCAATCATGTAATTGTCATTGGCAATCTTCTCTGCTGGCTTTCCCAGAAAGTCAGTAGTTGCAAGCTGCTGCATCTGCTGAAAGAGCTCCCTCTGGTCTATAGATGCTGGCTGAAAGCTGCATTCTTGCATCCAATCGAAGGATTCTCCCTTTTGTGCATTGAGGGGAGCTGAACTCCTTTGGCAGACAGTTCTTTCAGCCACCCGAGAGACAAGAGGGTACCAAAATCTAAGCAGAGAAACTGGGTGGTAAGGCAAGGAGTGTTGGGTGCCTGATGGATGGGACAGCCCAGTGCAGGCCTTGCACAAATGTCTCTGTTCAGGGGCTGAAAATCCTTCTTGGAATTTGGCAGAGAAGTCTTTCAGCTCCTGAGCAGAGAAACAATTTGATAAGGAAAGGAGAGAAAAGGGCCTCAGGCAGGTCCAGCACAAGTTGCATGCAAGTGTCTCTCTCTGCTGGGATTGTAGCTATTGAGCAAAGCAGTCATATGGGTGGTCTTGCTCAACGACTGAGATTATGTGATAATTGTGGTTGTAAGTCAAGGGTTACCTGTACATGGTTTCCCAAATAATTATTTGTACATAAATCATGCATATTATTTACGTAGAAATAATGAACAAATCCCACACTCACTTGTCCTGAGGAAGGACAAGGGCTGACTGTGCTGGCCAAAAGATTCCCAGTTACCTGTTCCCCAATCAGGTAGCCTTCAAATATGTTATGCTACCAGTTCCATCATTCCCAGAAAGCATGGCTTATGCAATTGAGAAGACACCAAGTTGTATATATTGCCATTCTCACAAAGGGTAGATGACTTTGCAAGGCTAAACAGATCTTCTGAAAGTCCTCTTAGAGTGGGCCAAGTCCTCTTAGAGTGGGCCAAATAGCTAGGTATCTGGATGATCTGCTCCTATCAATGCTCCTATCAGTGCTCCCATCAGAGTTAAAAGGGATCCTCCCTTAATGAAAGACTTAAGGCAAGGCAGTATTTACATAACAAAATCTTAAGCAACTTCCTTGTCTTAGCTACTTAGCATAGCATTTACTATAAGAATTCATGGCCTGGGGTCTACCATAATGTTAGAACTACAACCTGCAAGCACTTTGATTTCACTTATCTTCCCAAAGGTCTCCTTGGCTAAAGGGCACCAATTTGACCGTGATGTGGAACTGCTGATATATTATGAAGATGTACACAAGACCAGTGCCATTTTAGAGACTGGGAAATCTGGAGCTGCCCCAGGTAAACAAAGTTGAAGGCAGAGGTGGGAATGTATGTCTCTGCACTATAATTCTCAGCAGTCCTTACTAGGCCTACCAGTGAAGGATGCTGAGAGATGCAACTCAGCAACATATGGAGGAACACAGGTTCTTCATCTTTGGCATAAACTATCATGTGGCTGAAGTGGAAATCCTAAGAATTGGAGGAATCCTGCCTTGAGTGAAAATGCCTCCTCCTCCTTCTTGTGCCATATCCATCATCAGACATTGACGATCATGTTGGTGATCCTGTTTTTATCAACAGCCACACGAAAAAGTGCTGTTGAGTTTTGTCCAAACCAGTCCCTTAGGTTTTGAAGCCATGATGTTCTTCTACTGCCTGGACCGTGTTTGAAAATGCCTATTGATTGCTTTCTTCCTGCAAATATAGGTTCACTGATGGGAGACCCAGCACTTCTGCTAAGCCTGTACCCAAACATTCCAGCTGCCAAAGCAGGTCAATGTGTTCCTGGAGAGTTTATCTTCCTGCTGGATCGCTCTGGCAGCATGGGTAACACCTTGGGTAACAGTTTTGGCTCACAATCACGCATCGAGAGCGCTAAGGTACTTTAAAGATGGATGAATGGGGGAATCAGTTGGATTATTGAAGATGGAGAATGAAAAGTGGTTTAGGATAGTGGTTCTTGACCTGCAGTCCATGGACCCCTGTGGGGCTGCTATGTCATCTCAGGGGGTCCGTGAAGGCTTGAAAAAATATCATGATTTAAATCGTGAGATAAGTCTTGGAGGGTCCATGGCCATGGTTTATGGCCACAAAAGATATTTAAACGGGGTCTGTGGTAAAGAAGAGACTGGTCTACAATATTTATAGGCCACATGTATTGCCTGTGTAGAATTTCCTCAAATCTTTCAAGGTGCTTGTACATGGTCCTTTCCCTCTGACATGTAAAAACAACTCTGTGAAGTGCAGTGGATTTAGTGTCTAGGGAACGTCACAAAGTGATGATAATTGAAGCCCAAGTCCCTTTAACCTACATACAAACACAACAGTTGACCTTGCAAAGGGAGAACCTCAGAAAAGTAGAGGAGATAAATATGGAAACTGCCATTTTGAATCTGAAAGGATGTGCTGGAATATCTAAAGTGACATTCTCTTCCCCTGTTCCATTTCAGGAGACCTTGATTTTCTTGCTAAAGAGTCTCCCTCTGGGATGTTACTTCAACATCTATGGCTTTGGTTCTACCTTTGACTCATTTTACCCGTGAGTATTAAAATATGCCTTTTGTCCATCTTTTTATTTCTTGGTTTCGCCAACTCCTACTTGTTATGTAAAATATATTTGGAAAGAATCAAATGGATAATTTGTTTTTAAAAGAAATACTGGGTTAAATAGAAGAAACTCTAAAGTCCTTAAATTAGAAGTAGAAGAAAAAAAATTACACAGTGATGTGTCTGACATGTACCACTTCCTTGAAATCCATTTTCTTAACTTGAAAAGCTTTACCATAGGCCAAAAACATGTGAGATTTTGGGATTGTAGTGTCCCACTTCACTTTTGAGAGCCTGCACTTCAAAAAGAAATAATGCCAGCACAAAAACTAAATTTTACTGACATAAAGGAACATTAAGTAAGCATAGTTTAATTTCTCCCAATGTTTGCTCCTTTATCATGAATTATCATGAAAATTATAATTGGGTGAAAGTTCATGAACTTGAGATCTCCTATTGGGTCCTCAGGAGGTATTCTCTTGTCTTCTTTGGCCTTCTCAATAGCCATATATTGCCCTTGGGTTCTCTATACTTCTTAGTATATTAAAGATGATAAATAACGAACAATGGCTTTGATCTGTGTAGTTATGCTTTAAGGCTATGAAAAGTGAGATGATGAAGGGTAGATTCTTGTGGATATGGGGAATATATAAAAGGTTGTTTGGGAGAACTTGGTTTAGTTTAGTAATAGCATTCACTACCCTTCACAGGCAGAGTGTTAAGTATACCCAGCAGACCATGGATACATCTGTCCAACGTGTGAAGGAGCTGCGTTGTGATTTGGGAGGAACAGAGATTATAAAACCCCTGAAGGCTATTTACAGCCAGCCATGCTTTGAAGGACATCCTCGACAGGTATTCAATTCTAATAAGATATTTCTTTTTAGATAGAATCAGGATTTATGCATGAGCACAAAAAGATTTATAGAAAAGCACATAATAATGCCCATAACTACCAATATAAGGACTCTTAGAAAGAAGCTTTACTTTTATTATATGCTGTAAGTTTGCAAACATAGACATATTAGTCCCTTTAATGGTTTGCAACCAAATAAATTTAGATAAGACCAATTCATTAAATGTTCACTTTCATTTCTCTACATATAGCAATTCTATTCTACAAGACCTTCATTTATATTTATTACATCCTTCTCTTGTTCTTAATTTCACAGGTACATTTCTGTTTTCCTTCCATTTATTCCATTAATCTGCATTCTCTACATTTAATAGTCTTACATTCTTCCAATGATAATAATGATTAGCACCTGGTGGGCCCATAAATATTGACTTCCACAGCCCATCATGGCATTAGATCATTAAAGTCTTCACATGTCACTTTTAATAAGATAGGGAAAATACTGGTCAGGAGTCCCCAACCCTCAGGCCAGGTTGGGGACTACCAGGCCATGGCCTATTCAGAACCGGGCTGCATGAGAGGTGGGCTGGTGAGTGCACATAGATCCACTCTCATGAGCAGCACCACAAAGACTTCTCTCTTGCATGAGTGTAGCTTTGTGCATGTGCACCCACCACTCACATGGCCCAGTGCCCCTCCCCATCTCCTCCAGGCCACCAAGCCGCCTGCTCCCAATGCTCCAAAAGCGGAGCTGTGAAAGCAGAGGCTGAGTGGGACTACAGTGCCTTGCTCAGCTTTCCTGATCTGCTTTTGGAGAATTGGGCAACCTCAGTGAGTCTGAAGGAGCACGAGACCGTGCCCCCAGAGGCTTCTCTTCTTCATTGCCAAAAGCTTTTGCAAATGGACGAAAGGCTTTAGAGGCGTGATCTCACACAGATTCAGGCCTTCTGTCTCTTTGCAAAAGCTTTTGGTGTAAAAAAGCATGAAGGAGCGCGAAACCACACCCCAAAGGCTTCTCTTCTCTCTTGCATGAGTGGAGCTGTGCACACACACACCCCAGCCCACCACTCATGTCACCCAGTTCCCGTCTTCTCCACCCCCAGCTGAGCTGCAAAAGTTGGGAACCACTGAACTAGGTTACTAGTCTCAGTTATACCAATACTATATGTAGCATTTTTTATTAATAGTAAATGCTATTGATCTATTGGCCACCTAATGAGAAGGAAGGACTCACTGGAGAAGAACATAATGCTAGGAACGATTGAGGGCAAAAGAAGAAAGGGATGACAGAGAATGAGGTGGCTGGATGGAGTCATTGAAGCAGTCAGCATGAGATTAAATGGACTCCAGAGAATGGTAAAGGGCAGGAAGGCCTGGAGGAACATCCATGGGGTTACGATGGGTCAGACATGACTTCGCAACTAACAACAACAACAATTGTTGGACATATTTTGGTCAATATGCCACCAAGAAAACCAAGATAAATTTCACTCCAAATCTGCTTGTCCTATTTTTATCAGGCTAAAATTTCTAATCTAGAAACTACTTCTCAAGGCAACATACTGTTACTCAGACCTCACCAACATTGGTAGAACAAAAATAGTAACTATACACAGAACGAGCAGGTTACCATATCTAGAGCTAAGCCATTTTGTGGAATGTTGAGATCATTAAGCAAATCCTTGGCTTCGTTCCAGTCCTATTGTCTCTTTGACAAGCCACAGGAAGTTCAAATTAAATTTCTTCTTGCCTGCTTCCAATCTTCCTCTCCCTGCCCTTTACAATTTTCACTTCAAGTTGCTCTCTATCTCCACAGATCTTTGTGTTCACTGATGGAGAAGTGTCTAATACAAATGAGGTCATTGCTGAAGTTCGACATAACAGTCACTTCCACAGGTAAGAAAAGATTAAGGTTTTCCTGTCAGTCATGTCTAACTCTAGTGCACAGTGCTCACGGAATAGGTAAGAAGAGAGGATGAAATTATTTTATTGATGTTCTTCTCACTTGGTTTCCATCATCTTCTACCTTCTTCCTTCCTTACCAAACAGGTGTTTCTCCTTTGGCATTGGGGAAGGGGCTTCAACAGCTCTGGTCAAAGGCATTGCTCGAGCTGCTGGAGGCAGTGCCGAATTCATCACTGGCAAAGAACGCATGCAGGCCAAGGTGAGATCTCTTCCTCTTAATGGGTTTTGGCTTTGCTGCATGTCATTGATACATAGTTCCAGGATTTAGCATCTTTTAGGCTGCCTAAAACTTAATTATAAATTTTTAATATTTCAACTGCAGTAGTTTAATACCTTTGAGATAAAAAGGGGGGGGCATCAGAAATTACATGGATTCGGTTCTTTTGTGCTAACAGGAACTAATGTGAAAACCCATTGTTTATTTTGGTTTATAATACATGTTCTCCATGAGGCACAAGTATAGGAACATATTTTGGGGTAGCAGACATAGATCCTTGTCTTCTTGTTATTTGGAAGCTTGGGGATTAATAATAAAGTTATTACAGTTAGTCTTCAACTTATAAATTTAGTGACCATTCAAATTTTATTTTATTTTTTAATTTGATTTATATGCCACCCTTCTCCGGAGACTCAGGGCGGCTTACAATGCGTTAAGCAATAGCCTTCATTCTTTTGTATATTTTATACAAAGTCAGCTTATTGCCCCCACAAACTGGATCCTCATTTCACCTACCTTAGAAAGGATGGAAGGCTGAGTCAACCTTGAGCCTTGGAGAGATTCGAACCAGCAGAAATTGCAGGCAGCTGTGTTAATAACAGGGTGCACTAAACCCCTGTACTATCAAGGCTCATTATAACAGCACTGAAAAAAGTGACATATGACCATTTTTCACACTTGTGACCATTGCAGCATCCTCCTGGTCTTCTGATCAAAATTTGGATGCTTGGCAATTGGTTCATGTTTATGATAGTTGCAGTGACCTAGGGTCATGTGATAACCTTTTGCAATCTTCTCACAAGCAAAGTCAATGGGAAAGCTAGATTCACTTAAGAACCATGTTATTGACTTAACAGTTTCAGTTATTCTCTTAACAGCTGTGGCAAAAAAGTTGTAAAATGGAGCAAAGTCACTTAACAATTATCTTGCTTAGTAAAAGACATTTTGGGCTCAATTGTGATAGTTAGTCAAAGATTACTTGTATGATTCATATCCTGGTCAGCACTTCTTTACTTTCCTACCATCGGGAAGGAAATATAGAAGCATAGCCAACCAAATGAATAGGCTGAAAAATAACTTTTATCTGTGGGCTGTCAGACTTCTGAATGCAACATAGCACCACAATTAGGTTTAATATGATAAACTTGCAGGGCCATGCAACATGTTCATACTGATGTAATATAACATAATGTTACATACATATAGGTATATGGGAATGTGTGTTAGTTATTACTTATTTGGGTTTAGGGATTCTATTTCTTTCATTTATTGAGTTATTGAGATGTATTTTGTGTTTCAGGGGGGCTGCACCAAGAGAGGCTCATTCAATTTTATTGTACACATGTTGTGCATTGACAATAAAGGTTTGATTTGATTTGATTTGATTTGATGACAGCTCTTTCTAGAACTCATCAGATGGGATAAAATCTATCTATATGCTACTAGGTACAGAAATATTTCTGAAACAATGACCCAGTGGGTCATGGGTTGTCCAGTATTAATCAAAGTTGCAAGATATAATTCATAGAATCACAGAATGTACTATTTAGGCTATTCAGGCCAATTCCTTTTCAGAGCAGGAATCCTAATTAAAACATCTTGTTTCATCTTCATCTGAATACATCAAATGAACAGAAGCCTATTTACTTTTCTAGGCAATTGCTCTTACTATCAGAAAGTTTTGTCTAACTTTAAATCAGAATCTGTCTTCCTGTAATCAAATCCACTATTCCTGCATTCTGGAATAAGACATAATCATTCTTCTTTGTTTGGATTTATAATTTTTTTTCAGTTAGGAGCTCAAGGCAATGTATTAATTTATTTAGATGTTTTAAGGCCATTCAATTCATCATTAATTCTGCAGTCGCTTTCAGATATTTGAAGAGTGCCACTGTATTTCTCCTCAGCCATCTTTTCTGAGTTCTAAACATGCTCTGCGCCTTCAATCTACCTTCACAGAGCTTAGTTTCTAATTCCTTGATCTTTTTTCCTGTCTTCCTCTGAATCTGCTCAGTTCTTTTCACTCCTTCTTAAAGAGTAAAATGGCCAGAACTAGTCATGGCATTCAAGGCAGAGTCTGTACAAAGCAGAATACAGTTGAAAAATTATTTCTACAATTATTGTTGAAAAATTATTTCAACAATTTCTTGAAAATTATTCTTCTGCAGTTGCAGCATAAAACTACGTTTGCCTTCTTTGCAGCCAAAAGCTGCACTTTATATTCAGTTTTCAGTCAAGTAGTTTTGTTTTGCCAATATTATTACCAGTCACAGTCCAGAGGACTTACTGCGTCATGAGGAGTAGGAGCAGAATAGAATGTCGTGTGCAGCCAAAACGTTGATTGTTTTGCAGGTGCTGTTCTACAATCTCAAAGCTAGAGCAGTAATAAACTTAACATTTTCAAAGTAAATTTTGTCTTTTATTTCTCAGAGGATCCTGAAATCTTATTGCTTTTTCGTAAAATTCCTTTTTCCTGCAGGCTTTGCAAAGTCTGAAGAAGGCCCTTCAGCCAGCAGTGACGGGGATCTCTCTGAGCTGGGAGTTGCCTTCTGGCCTTGAGGCCAAACTTGTGGGGTCAGGCCCTCAGTTCATTTTCCAAGGTCAGCGCTGCCTCATCTATGCCCAGATCCAGGGCCAACTTCAGGCAAGTGATCCACCTGAGGCCCACCAACCGGAGAAATCCTCTGTCCTGTGGACTATGCCTGGCTCAGCTAAGGGTATTCAGTTGCCCTTCCTCCACAGCTCTAATCCTAGAACGTCCCAATTCTCAGGGGGAAAAAATCGCTTCTTTCCCCCTTCCTTCCTTTTGTTTTTATACAGACGTCAGGCTCCATGGAGGGGACAGCCGTGGTTCGGTATAATTTCCAAAATGAGACTCCGACAGAAACAACAAAGTTCTCATTCCAATTTGAGAAGACAGACAGGTAGAACCCAGAACCCTTCATTCGAGATAGAACCCAAGTCTGAACAAACCCTTTAAAAGAGGTACATGAGTGGGTCAGTGGGAGCCCATTCAAATTATTGCTCTGAATCTTGAAGCGGATGCCTCTTTTTTCAGATTCACAGAGTTTCTTCATGAGCTGCTCCCAGCTATCTCTTCACACACGATGCAGCCAGGAGTAGCTTATTAACCAAGAAAAAAATGAAGCTGTTTTGTTGATTCAAAGAGAGGTGCTTTTCACTTAGCAGAGTCATTTCCTCTTGGAGGTTATATGTCCTTTGTATGTTAATGCCAAATGAAAGTAGGAAGCCGCCACCTTAATCAACTTTATTGCTTAGATGTGTGTGTCATCTCTTGCCCTCTGGATTCATATCCTTTAGCCAAGAGATTTGGCTGGATTCATAATTGTTCTGTCAGTTTTCATAATGAAGACAGAGTTAAGAAGACATTGGTTGACTAAAACGCAACAGCCCAAGCCAATGCAAAAGAAACCACATGTGTTCCTTCATGTTATTTCCAGGCTACAGAAATGCTCCCCCAGAGGTACATTCAGGCTCTGCTTTTTCTCTTTTCAGAGAAGAGACCACAAGGATAAGTCTTTTTAGCCTAAGATTTTTCAGCTTCCCAAGTTAAAATGCAAAACAAGTAGTTAGTCACTATTAACTTTTTCCTGTATTTACTGTCAGCTGATCCTGTGGGCAGAAAACCACGATATAGAAGGAACTGAGAATCAATTAAGACTTTGATGTAATGGCAGCCCTTCCTCTACCCATCCCTCCCCCTTCTGTGCAGGCTCCCTGTTCACCGTCTGGCAGCTCAGGTGCTGTTGCAGGAATTAGAAGAGGACAAGGAGAAGGTGGAAGAAAAGCGGGTCCTGGCACTAGAGACAAGCCTGAGCTCTGGAGTGGTGTGTTCCCAGACAGCTTACGTGGGTGTGAATATGGAGCTGGGCAAACCAGTTCAAGGACCTCTCATCCACCGAAATGTCCCACTTCCAGGTAAATTGGGAGCAAAAGATGGCGGATCAGTCCAAGTCTTGAATCAAATGGGGGTCCAATTTGCAGCTGAGCTTCTCCAGATAGTCTGGAGTTTTGCCTTGTAGAGCTTCAGTTTAAAAAGCCCCATTGCTGCCTGGATTTTAGCTGCCCAGCAGTTGGCAGAGCAAGTGGCAGGTATCCACTCTTATTGATTGGCAGGTATCATCAACATATCATATTCTTGTAATGACCTAGCTGGATTGCTAGTGTTTTACCTCCTTCCTGAGCTATCTGGCTGTTGGATGTTTAAAATCTGAATAGTAATAGTTGATTGTAAAATTAAAAGAATAAATACTGTAATGATTTCTACATTAGGCCATTCCCTCTTTCTTTCAGAGAAGAAACCATTTCCAGGCATTTTTCTGACTGCTCTTTGTAGGCAGCTGCAAATCTTTCTTGAAAAAGTTACTATCCTTCTAGGGATGGAAGGGCAGCTTTTTAGTAGTTTGGGGTCACACTTAATGTTTAATGAAGAATTGGGCAATGATGCACTGTGAATGAAGCTGCATAATGCTGCAGATATTCCCCATTTTCCCAGGTTTTGAAACTACAGACTGGGGTCATTCTAAGAAGCATGTGTGTATGTTCGTGCCTTCAAGTCAGTATTGATACCTGGTGACTGCCTCGACAAGTTTACTTGTCAAAGTTTCAAAAGTGGTTTGCTATTGCCTTCCTCTCAGAATTAAGAGAAAGTGGTGGGCTCCAGGTCATCCAGCTGACTTTGTGACAAGACTAGAATTCACATCTCCTGCTTTCTAGCCATTTTAAAAAGACAATTCAGGCTGCCAATCATTGTTTTAGGGGGACTTTTCCATATTCCAGCTCAGACTTGCTATGTCATTCACTCTGCATCTGCTGGGATCTAGGCTAACATTTTCAACCATGGCAACCTTAAAATGTCTGGACTTAACCTCACTAGGGAATTCTGGAAACTTGAAATCATTGCATCTCAAAAGTTGTCATGGTTGAGAAATACTGATCTATTCTAGACCAGAGGTCACCAACCAGTGGTCCATGAGAAAATTTTGGTGGTCCGCAGAAAAATTATTTGCATGTTTTATATTCCTCAAACTACGGTCCCTGGGCCGGAGATGTGCAATGAACATTTGTCTTGTAGCCAGCAGGGTGCTAGATCAGCCCCTGCAAACTCAGTCTCTCAAGCCCAGCCGAAGTTTCACGCACTGCTCTCTGAAGCACCTGGAGTCCCTGTGATTGGATGGGGTGCTTCAGGCACTTAGCTTCCTGTTCAGTAGATCCAGCCCCTCCCTCCCTCCCTCCCTGGGAATCCAGGCACTTCAATGAGCGGCATGTGAAACTCCTGCCATCCAGGAGGAGAAGAGTACGCCAGAGCCCAAATGCTGGGCCTCGTTGACTTCAGAAGCCAGGGATCCTGCAGGCATCCTGGCCACATAAAGGCCACCCAAATCCCCAGGTTGTTTTCTCCACCCACTTACCCACCCACCAGACCTGGGCCTGAGGAGGGCATCACGGGGGCTGCATTCACACAACAGACATGACCAGGTCATTTGAGTGCTAAACTTAATTGGCAGTTGCTGCGTGTTGTGACTGGTATCCAGCTAGGATCCCCCTCCCTCCCCTCTGCCAGGGCCATGGAAGACCTCGAAGGAGCAGCATTCTTCGTTCCTTTGTAAACTCTGGAGAGGGCAGAGAACCTCAGCGGAGATCACAGAGGCGGATAGCAACCAATCCTTGGAGGAGCGCAGGTGGCTTTAGTTGCAAGTGCAAAAGTGCTCGTGTGGATGGAGATGTCGTGCCGGGTGCACCTCCTGCTCTTGCGCTGGCCATCCAGGCAGATCCGTGTACCTGGGTGAAGGAGCTGCTCCGGGATGACCAATGGGCCAGTCCTGTGACTAGAGCTCTGGAATATGGAACCGACATTCTCACCGAAGTCAGCAAGCTGCCGTCACTCTGCCCATTTTATTTTTTCCTTCACTCAGATCAACCACAAAGCTTCTCCTTAGGAGAAGGAATACAAAAGAGGCTCCTGGAAGGCTGTATGCCTGGACCAGGCGCCTTCTTTCAGGCCTCCCACCCAGAGGCCTCGCAGAAACAGAGATGGGTGGGAGGCTGAGAGAAAGCGCCTGGTCCGGGCACACAGCGCCCCAGTTTTCAAGCTAGGTTGAATGCATCGATCCAGCAGACAAAACAGGAAAGGGGGGCAGAGAAAAACAGTCCAATTGCCAAGATACGCCAGAGTGGGAGATCTGCAAACTGGAGAGCTTCTTCCCCATATTCCCAGGAGCATGGGTCTTCTCAAGACTGGGCCCTGACCTCCCTTGTTGTTTGTTCTGCTGCTGGAGGATGGGCTGCAGCGGTCCCACCTTGGCCCATGCTAGCTCTTTGTAGGGATTGCTGCAGAGAGTCTACCCCTTTGGGGTCTTTTTGTGCAGGTTGCAGGGGGGGCAGAAATTACAACTTGGGATCTGCTTCAGTCTCCTGGTGTGGGGCTTTGGGCAAAGGCTGGAGGAAAGCGCTGGTGGTGGTGAAGAGGGACAGCATAATGGTCTGGAACTGGCTGACCATCTCAGCCTGCTGTGCCTCCAGGCACAGGTACCTGGCCTTGCACTACCACAGATCTTCCCTCTGCTTGGAAAACCTATGCTCGTAGTCCTCAGTGAGGTGCTTTTGCTGAGCCTCCTTCTTGGGCAGATCCAATTTGAACTGAGCTGTTTTCCAACTTTTTCTCGTGGCTGCTTAGCTCCAACAACTGCTTCCTGTTGGAACATTAATAAGCCCGGGTGGGGAGGGAAAGGGGAGTGGCTGGGAGGGAAAGGGCTAGTAGAGGCTGGGGAGGCACCCCTTGATGTGAGTGACATTAAGTTGGCCATGTCCACCCAGTCACATGACCACCTAGCCACGCCCACCCAGCTGGTCATTAGGTAGATATTAGTGGTCTGCGAGTTTTAAAATTATAAATTTAGTGGTCCCTGAGGTCCGAAAGGTTGGTGACCCCTGTTCTAGACCATTCAGTGCTTATGGGGGAATAGGACACGAAGAGAAGAAAAAAATAATCTTGTCTTATTACAGTTCCTATTGCAAAACATTTTCCTGTGTTCTGTTTTACTTTGGAACATCTGCAGTTTTGATGGGATCATCAGGAGTGATGGTCCGCCGGAGATTAGGATCATCACATAAAATTAAACGCGACATCCATGACTATTCAGCTGAATGTCTAGGGGCAAGTATGTGTCATAACCAGCAAGGTAATTCCTGTTAGTCAATGTACAAGCAAAAGAAATGCTGTTCTCATTAATTTCCTTTATATTCTGTATGAAGATTAAACATGGGGTGCATTTGTTCATATTAATAAATACAATAAATACATGTAGAATATTATTTGTGTAATGTTGAGTTTTGCTGCAATCTCTCATCTTTGTGAGTCTGGCAAAATTGAGGTGGAAACAACTGTTGGGAATCCAAAATTGGACCTTTAAGACAATGCCTAACATTTGCACCTCTGAAAGTCTTATTTTTGAACAAAATGTAGATAATGCAGAAAACAAAATGTAAAGTATTGTGACAGGGTGGGAGGAATGAAACAGGCAGTTTTATAGTTACTAATAATGAGCTCTAGAAACCTGTCATTTAGTGACTGATTGAAACAATGAATTCTAGCGAGGGGGTTTCAACCTTGTCAATTTTAAGATATGTGAACTTCACTTGGCTGGAGAATTATGGGAGTTGAATCTTAAAAGTTTAAATAATACAATTAAAAGACAGTAGATGCAGGCATTTCGTATTGACCCGTCAGTACCAAACTTACAATAACACGGTTAAAATCGGCATAAAATATGGGGTCTAGCGAGAATGTTAATTAAACGTATAACATGTGCAAGGAACCAACCAATGACAAACCTTAGGCCCATGGAAGGCGTAGATTGACACACAGCTGTTTCTGCACACACAAAGGAGGCTTCAATCGATTGATGGCAAATGCTTTGGCAAACCGTAGAAAATAGAGTTCCTGTAGCGCAATAAAACTTTGAACAGTGTTTGGATCGACTTGGTGACCCATAGGTAGTGTATGAATCACAATGGCTGAAGAAGCCATTTTATGGCCATGATTTGCTGGAACCCTCGTTTTCTGCGGTTTGCCAAAGTAGTTGCCATCGATCGATTGAAGCCTCCTTTGTGTGTGCAGAAACAGCTGTGTGTCAATCTATACCTTCCATAGGTGTAAGATTTATCATTGGTTGGTTCCTCGCATACGTTATACATTTAATTAATGTTCTCACTAGACCCTATATTTTATACTGATTTTAACCGTGTTATTGTAAGTTTGGTACTGATGAGTCAATACAAAATGCTTGCATCTACTGCTGTTCGTCTTTTAATTATATTGTTTAAATAGTTAAAGGGGACTAATTGTTTTAAATATCTTAAAAAGTTGAGAAATGTTGTACTGATCTAAACCATTCAGAGCTCATGGAGGACTAGAAAGACACAAAAGGAAGGAAACATTAATTTTGGAATATTACAGCTTTTATTGTAAAAGTTGTCCTGTGATGTTTTATTTTGGAATGTCTACAGCTGCCAATTCAGTTCATGGAACGTATTTTGGCTCACAGCCGTTAGGTTCTCAATTTCTCAATCTGGGGGCGAAGAGATGTGCTGTACCACAAATGAAAGTTGAAGGTAATTCCCATAATCACAATGGAAGGCTAATTTTTTAAAAGGCCATTTTCACAAATGTCCATGATCCCAAAAGTGCTCTTTCAAGAGGCAACTGGACTTTCTTTAACCAGAAAGTTAGTTGCCTCTTGAAAAAGCACCTTTGGGACAATCATGACCTGGATGAATGAGAATCTCCATAGACAAATGTCCATTATATTTTGCATATAAGTCAAACATGGAATGTGGTTTGTGTCAGTAACTGCAAAGTGACTAAAATTGTTCTGACCCAGCTCCACAAACACGACAAACCCTCTGACGTGAACTCAAAAGATTCCTGTCTTAGGAATTCTGGCAGCTCCTGCAAAAAGTTTTTCTCTTTTGTGAGAAAATTTGTGAGATGTTCAGTTATATGGATTTGATTAAATAAGTAAATAATCTAGAGTTACATTAGTAGTTCCTCTCTTAACACTATGATTTTTACCTCTGTATTTAGTGAGAAAATCACTCCACCCGGCAAAAGATACAAATAGGCAAGTTGACACATTCAATGTAAAAAAACCAGCTAAAAGGAAATTGAAGGTAAACCTTGATGGGTTTTGAACATCTCCAATACTGAGATCCCCTTTTTCTACAGGTCAAGCAGCAGAACTAAGGAAGAAGAATCTCCTCTTTTGAAGTTGGTATCCCTGCAGAATGCAAATGGCTCCTGGCCTCATGGGCCTGCCCTAGCTGCCATACTAGACCTGAGTGAAGCTGAGATCTCAGGCAAAGCACCGGCCCATGTAAGTTTCTGTACATTTTCCATAATGAACAGCAAAAGCTTTATTCATTTATTATTCTCTATTGATAGAAAAAGCTTTCTCGAGTCCATGTTCAGCTAATTTGAGGGAAAGGAGTACAGAATTAAAATAATGTAAGCATTGTAGAACCCTCCAAATGCAGTGGGCATCAAATCACCCATTGCAGTTAGCAAGGATAGAAGCAGGAAATTGTGAGAGTTGTATTCCAGAAAATCCAGAGGATAGCAAATTCCAGAGTTCAGAACAAACAAAAAAAAAAGTTGTGACATTGATAGAAAGTAAGCAGGCATTTTTAGGAACACAGGAGCTGTCAAAATAGGTAGGAAGACAGGCCAATGCATGTTTACTCTGTCTTTAATCCCTGATTTTGCCATGATGGGGGATGGAAGGCCACAGCCACCTTATGTGGCTCTTCCTCTAAAAACATTTTAACATCTTCAAAATTTCATACATAATTATGGAACATTTAGCTCATTCAACAAAACTATCTCAGCATTAGGACATGGAGTGAACTAGACACTGGAGATGGTTGCCAGTAATCAGGAGTTGGAGTGGTGGGGAAGATGTCTTAACTGAATTTCACTCCATGGAACACATGGAGTGAAATCATGGAGTCTTAACTATTGTTAATGAAAACCGTGGTATCCATTATCTATTTCAATCTATTGCTTTGAATTCTGGATAACAACTAGCTTGTGTTTCTGATTTAGTACTGAATAATTATTTTTAGCCATCATTTGGAAAAATATTTTGCACATCTGTACAGGAATAATATGTAAGGCTCATTTAGCATCTTTTCCCCGCCATTGTTTTCAGGTGGCCTCAGATATATGGGCAACAGTGCTGGCTGTTCTCTGGCTTCATTTGAATGCTGCAGAGCAGAAAAATGAGTGGGAACTGCTGGAAGGAAAAGCTGTTCATTGGCTCCAAGTGAATGCAGGTGATGTATTGAGAGGAGCTTGTCGAGGGGAATCAATGTCAGGATAAGAAATAGTAGTGTGTAGCAGTCCTTAATCTACCTTGGGTGATCATTGAAATAGCAACTCAATATCAGATCTTGTTAGTACTTAGAGGCCATGGGGAAATCCTGGGACTGCTTCCCAGGCCGAGAAGTTGAAGAAACATCTTAAAAGAAGGCAGTAGCATCAATTTTGCATTGTTGCCAAGAAGGCTACCTTGAAATGTTCATGGTGTAACCAGGAATTTGAGTCAAGGGAATCTTTGTTTTATGGAAAAAGAGATTTGGTGAATGCAATTCCAGCAGAAGTAGTACTTAACGCCATCCTCCTTCCCAATTCTAGTTCTTCTTGAAATACTTTTTTGATGGATTAGTTCCTTAGGATTCCCCAGCCATAATAGCCGCTGCTGAAAATTCTGGGAGTTGCCTTCCTGAAGTTTATAGGGCATCCAAATTCATGAGAACTGTCCTTTGGATATTGGAAGATGTGCTAAATGCCATTATATTGTTTAAATTAAAGTGAGTGTTGCTTCAACATCCTGATTCTCGACTATTTATTTACAGGAGATCAACTAGCTAAGTGTGTGAATGCTGGCAATGAAGTTCTGGGAAGTAGAGTCGGCCCCCAGGTATTCGGGCTCTGAGTTTACAGTGTCATCATATGCCTGAAACTGGAACATCTGCATCTATTCTGCTTCTATTCTTGCTGAAATGTAACCTGCTGCAACCTCCATTAGAACCTATTAGGTTCTGGGTCGTCATTCCCTTAAAAGTACTAGTGCCTTGCTTACAAACTCATTAAGTTCTAATGCAAGGGACATGGTGGCTCAGTGGATAAGACACTGAGCTTGTTGATCGAAAGATCGGCAGTTCAGTGATTCAAATCCCTAGTGCCACGAAAGGGGTGAGCTCCTGTTACTTGTCCCAGCTTCTGCCAACCTAGCAGTTCGAAAGCACATAAAAAATGTAAGTAGAAAAATAGGGACCACCTTTGGTGAGAATGTAACAGCGTTCCATGCGCCTTTGACGTTTAGTCATGCCAGCCACATGACCATGGAGATGTCTTCGGACAGCGCTGGGTCTTCAGCTTTGAAACGGAGATAAGCACCGCCCCCTAGATTCAGGAACAACTTGTGCGAGGGGAACCTTTACCTTTACCTAAGTTCTAATGCATCACAAATTGCTCTGTTGGCGCATTGATATGCAAGCATTCTAGGCATAAATGTAGCAATAGCATGTAGGCTTATGTATCACCCCATAGCATTTTACAACACTCTCTGGGAGGTTTATAATGTGGAAGCATTATTTGCACATTGCCCCCAACAATCTGGGTCGTCATTTTATCACTCTTGGAAGGATGGAAGGCTGAGACAACCTTGAGCCCATCAGGATTGAACTCAGGCTATGGGCAGGGTTTGCCTGCAATACTGCATTCTAAACACTATGCCACCAGTAGATTTATATTTATTCTATGCTATATATATGTGCTCCTCTCCCCCCCCCCAAAAAAAATATCACTTGAAAGAATGAAAATTAAGACTGACACCTACCACCCCAATATTTCTTCTTTAATTTGCAGTTTAAAGTTTATATTAAGACCTTGGAGCATAAATATGTATGCATCCTCCACTCGTTAAAAATTAGGGATGCATTCCTAATCCCAGGAAAACCCGAGATAGATTCGTATAATAAATGAGATTTTCACTGATCTGAGAGAGCAATAAAGGATTAAACACTCTAGTTAAGAACAAAAACCCCAGATCAGTATTAACCTCAGGTAATATTTATGGTTGTCAATTTCATTATGCTAACAGTATAAAATAATGAAGGGGATGCTTACAAAAAAAGCCAGTTTGGTGTGATTAAGGCATCAAGCAGAAATCAGGAGGTTGTCTTGCTTCAAGCATAAAACAGCTGGATGATCTTGAGCTAGTCACACTCTTTTAGCCTTAGGAAGCAGAAACCACTGCTGAAAAACCTTACCAAAAAAACAAACGGCAGGGTCTACTTCCAAGCTTCACCAAAAGTCAACAATAACTCAAAGGCACATACATGCAATGAAATATAATATGAGCTTCTCTCAAATTTTGTAGTTTGATTTAATATCCATAAATATGTTAACAAAGTTTAGAAATAAGAACAGTAAGTTTAAAATAGTTTTAAATTGTTGAATTATGCAAACACTTGGAGTTTATCAATATATAAAGAATTTTGGATTTATTGAATTGAAGGTAATTATTCTCTTATACCACCCCGGGTATATAATCTTGGATAGATGGCACATATTCATACCATTTATATAATGAATAGAATAACTACTCTGCATAAAGATTTAACGCAGTGTTTAAAAACTGCCATTTGTTTTTATTCTGGATATAAATATGAGTTTACTTCTGGTCGGGTACTTATTGTGGGGGCACTGGTCATCCCCAATGAGATAGATTACCGAGGGAGTGAAATTAACGAAGTTTCTAAGATGCATTAATTGTCTATTGTTTGACAAGGCATGCTACACAAACCCTTGAGTCAAATAATTTTCCTAAATAAATGAGTGTTTTCTAAGGCAGGCACAAAATGATAACAACACTCCTGCTCAAATTGTCAAGATAAAACCTGTAAATAACATTGCATGCAATCTCTCAGCAGATGGCAGCACCTCTCCAATTTTGCCTGAGCTAGGAAGATAAGCATAATAAGACCTTATTAAATAAAAGGCTACATAAGCTTATGTCAGGGATATCAACAAGACCTTCCCCCACAGTCTTAAGGGTTCTTTAAAGTGATCCAGCTCACATTTGCTCGCAGATTAAATCGTCCTACAGGTAGTCCTTGATTTATGACCGCAGTCAAGTCCAAAATTTATGTTTTTAAGTGAGACATTTGTTATGAGGTTTTCCCCATTTTATGACCTTTCTAGCCACAGTTGTTAAGTGAATCATTGCAGTTGTTAAGTTAGTAGCATGGCTGTTAAGTGAATCTGCCTTCCCCATTGACTGTCAGAAGGTTGCAAAAGCTGTTCACATGATCTCGTCATAAATATGAACCAGTTGCCAGGAATCCAAATTTTGATCACATGAACATAGGGATGTTGCAATGGTTGTAAGTGTGAAAAATGCTCAGAAGTCACTTTTTTCAGTGCTGTTGTAACTTTGAATGGACACCAAACGAACTGTTGTAAATCAAGGACTGCCTATATATACAAATAATGGAAGCCAATGCATAGTTTTTGAAATCTCTCAGATTATATGAGTAACCATTAGACTTTTGCCACATATAGGAAAGGTAAAATATAAGGACAGGAACTGGGTAATGATTACATCTTAAAAAATTGATGAAAAAATATCTAAAAGTGCTCTTGAGTAAAGCAAATGAATAGCTACAAAAAATGTAAATATCCCAGTAAGAGAGTTAGCGATGCTTCTCCAAAGATTATATTCTACAACCTCATGTGTTGCCATCTAGTAGTCATTCAGATTTTTGCAGCTCAGATCTTTATAGTCCAATACTTTGATGGTTAGAATTTATCAGATTTTATTCCATAACAACAGATCTTACTAAATCTACAACTTTAGAGATTGTTGGAGGAATACAATCCCATTCAAATCTAGTCTTAATCAGAGTTCACCCAGTTGCATTAGGTCGGGTATCGGCAACCCATGGCCCCAGAGCTGCATGCGGCTCTTTGACCCCTCTCCTGTGGCTCCCTGCCGACCCGGTCATGTGACCTGATCTCCGCCCCGAGAAGGCGCAAGCAGAGCCATGCGGCTGAAGCGCCCCTAGCGTTTTCTTAACACTGCCTGCGACTGACTGCTTTTTGCTATTCTGTGTCCTTCACAGGAAACTCAGTGCCAGTCGCGATCCCCTTCATGTTGGCTCAGGAAGGAGGGGAACAGGGAGGAGCAGCTGCCACCACCGGATACAGAGAGGAAAGAGCTCCGGCTCCCCTGCACAGCGCAGCTCTCCTGCTCTGTGCAGCGCAGCCAGCTACTCACCTCACTGCGCAGTGGCAGCAGTGGGAGTAGGAGATGCCGTGCCTGCCACCATCATGATCCTGGCCCACAAGGATATCCCACTTGTGCGCATGCATGCACGAGAAAGATTAGAGAGAGAAAAGGGGAGAAAAAAAGGAGAAAATGATGGAGGGAAAGAATGAAAGAGAGGAAAGAGAAACAAATGAGAAAGAGGAGAAGGAGGGAAAAAGAGATGAGAGAGAAAGAGATGAGAGGGAGAGGGAGATAGATGAGAGGGAGGGAAAGATGAGGGAGAGAGGGAGAACGACGAGAGGGAGAAAGTGAGAAAGATACATAGAGAGAGAGATACCTGTTTCCCATAGAAAAGAAAACACCGGGAGCTACAAAACCTGGGCAGGCACAGCTGGGGGGGGGGGTGTCATGTGACTGGATTGGAGTGAATGACGTTGAGTTGGCCACACCCATCCAGGTTATGTAGCTCCTGGTGTTTTGCTTTCTGTGGGAAACGGGTGCAGATCTCTGCATTAGGTAAAGCCCTAATTTTAGACTTCCATTTTTAATAGAGATGCTAAGCTACCTTAAAAGGTGGCGGTAAGGTCTGCTGAGAGAGCATGGAAATTGGTTTTTATTTCTACTATTTTGACCTCATTCTCACAATTTCTTGGATGGCATTTTTGAGCTTGTTGAAGTTGTTTTTCTTATACATCTCTCAATAACTGCAGTGTCCTTGGATACCTAGGCTCCCTAACTGAAAAAGTCCTGTGGGAGATGTTTCCACACAATTTTCTCCTTTGGGATTTCACAAAAGCAAGAGAGGTTGCAGATCCCTAGGAAAATGATAAATTAAAAGCCAGACATTCACACACTTTTATCAATCACTTCAGTTACTTCAGCAGAAGAATCTTATGACCCACTCAATATTACTATGAACGAATTGAAATCATTGATTGTATTAGTGTGGCCAGTGAGGCAGGGGTCTCCAACCCCTGGTCTGTAGACCAGGACCAGGACCAGGCCTCAGCATGCCAGAAATCGGGTCGTGAAAACAAGCGAAGCCCCATCCATGCGAATCAGGCAACACGTGAAACCACGTCCCCTCCAGTCCAGGGGCCACTGTATTAAGGGATATAGTACAGTGTAATTTTACCTTCCAGCATCTTCCTACAAATATACTTAGGGAGAGAGGTTACATTGGGCTTATCATGAAAACTTAACATTCTAAAGCCCAAAGCCCCATTGAAATAAAGTCATTTTCACTGTCTTCCTGAACACAAGGAAAGTAGGAGAATATTGTACCTCTGGGTGAAATATGCTTTATTATTTATGAATTTTATTCAGCCATCTCCCAATACATTACTCTGGACAATATGCAGCAAAATTACATATATATATGTAATATATATATATGTATGTATGTATGTATGTATGTATGTATGTATGTATGTAGGTCTTTGGTTATTCGGGTCTTCTCCCACGTAAAATTGGAAGTGTCTTGGCGACGTTTCGACGAAATCTCATTTGTCATCTTCAGGCTGGTGTTTTCGGCTTCGTGCGTGCTCCTAGAAGCACGAAGCCGAAAACACCAGCCTGAAGATGACGAATGAGACTTCGTAGAAACGTCACCAAGACACTTCCAATTTGACGTGGGACAAAACCCAAATAACCAAAGATCTACATACAAACACCCACGAAAACCTCAGAAAATACACACACACACACACACACGTATATATGCACGTTTGCCCGAAAATAAGACCCTGTCTTATATTTTTTGAACCCTGAAATAAGTGCTTGGCCTTATTGCCATGCACTCAAAAGCCTGATTGGACTTATTATCAGGGGATGTCTTATTTTGGGGAAAACAGGGTATATACATACATATACAGTCAGGTCCAGAAATATTGGGACATCAACCCAATTCTAACATCTTTGGCTCTATACACCACCACAATGGAGTTGGAATGAAACAAACACAATGTGCTTTAACTGCAGACTGTCAGCTTTAATTTAAGGGTATGTACATCCAACTCAGGTGAACAGTGTAGGACTTACAGCAGTTTGCATATGTGCCTCCCACTTGTTAAGGGACCAAAAGTAATGGGACAGAATAATAATCATAAATCAAACTTTCCCTTCTTAATACTTGGTTGCAAATCCTTTGCAGTCAATCACAGCCTGAAATCTGGAACGCATAGACATCACCAGATGCTGGGTTTCATCCCTGGTGATGCTCTGCCAGGCCTCTACTGCAACTGTCTTCAGTTCCTGCTTGTTCTTGGGGCATTTTCCCTTCAGTTTTGTCTTCAGCAAGTGAAATGCATGCTCAATGGGATTCAGGTCAGGTGATAGACTTGGCCATTGCATAACATTTCACTTCTGTCCCTTCAAAAACTCTGGTTGCTTTTGCAGTATGCTTTGGGTCATTGTCCATCTGCACTGTGAAGCGCTATCCAATGAGTTCTGCAGCATTTGGCTGAATGTGAGCAGATAATATTGCCCGAAACACTTCAGAATTCATCCTGCTGCTTTTGTCAGCAGTCACATCAATAAATACAAGAGAACCAGTTCCATTGGCAGCCATAAATGCCCACGCCATGACACTACCACCACCATGCTTCACTGATGAGGTGGTATGATTAGGATCATGAGCAGTTCCTTTCCTTCTCCATACTCTTCTCTTCCCATCACTCTGGTACAAGTTGATCTTGGTCTCATCTGTCCATAGGATCTTGTTCCAGAACTGTGAAGGCTTTGTTAGATGTTGTTTGGCAAACTCTAATCTGGCCTTCCTGTTTTTGAGGCTCACCAATGGTTTACATCTTGTGGTGAACCCTCTGTATTCACTCTGGTGAAGTCTTCTCTTGATTGTTGACTTTGACACACATACACCTACCTCCTGGAGAGTGTTCTTGATCTGGCCAACTGTTGTGAAGGGTGTTTTCTTCACCAGGGAAAGAATTCTTCGGTCATCCACCACACTTGTTTTCCGTGGTCTCCCGGGTCTTTTGGTGTTGCTGAGCTCACCGGTTCATTCCTTCTTTTTGAGAATGTTTCAAACAGTTGTTTTGGCCACGCCTAATGTTCTTGCTATCTCTCTGATGGGTTTGTTTTGTTTCTTCAGCCTAATGATGGCTTGCTTCACTGATAGTGACAGCTCTTTGGATCTTATCTTGAGAGTTGACAGCAACAGATTCCAAATGTAAATAGCACATTTGAAATGAACTCTGGGCCTTTTATCTGCACATTGTAATTGGGGTAATAAGGGAATATCACACACCTGGCCATGGAACAGCTGAGAAGCCAATTGTCCCATTACTTTTGGTCCCTTAACAAGTGGGAGGCACATATACAAACTGCTGTAAATCCTACACCGTTCACCTGAGTTGGATGTACATACCCTCAAATTAAAGCTGACAGTCTGCAGTTAACGCACATTGTGTTTGTTTCATTCCAACTCCATTGTGGTGGTGTATAGAGCCAAAGATGTTAGAATTGTGTCGATGTCCCAATATTTCTGGACCTGACTGTACATATATACATATACACACACACATATATATGGGTTTTCTATCGAAGCAACCTGGTCTACCCAAATATGGGAAGAAGCATACTGCTTTCTTTCACCTTTCAGCCCCAATCCAAAAGCCCTCAGGCAATTGCTTTCACGAAAAAACTATTTTGTCCCATACCATTGGATTAGCAATGAGTCACCTCAAGATCTCATTGGTCCCCTGAGAACTCCAGGCCTGATGATAAAGCCAGATCTTCAGGAACTTCTGGGAAATAAGGGGTGAGGCTGACCTCACTTTGGAGGAAGGATATTCCATAATGCCCAACTCGTCATCTGGTCCAAGCCCCCTTCATTTCCAGTTGGAGGAAACTTTGAGCAAACCCCTCCCCTCCAAAGTTCAAAGTAGAAAGGCAAAATCATGCTTGCCAAGGCATTTCCTGGTATCTCCCATTGTCAGGCCATATAAAGCTTTATAGATGATGATCAGCATTTTGAAGAGATCCCAGCAGCCTACAGGTAATTTATTCTACTTCCCACAAAAGAAGACAACCCCTTTCCCAGTTTCTGATTGACAAGCTGGAAAAATAATTCAAGAAAGGTATGAGTAAAGAATAGAATTGTATGAGTTCTATACAAGGAATTACAAATGGTGGGGCCCCAAGCCTCTTCTCTCATTTCTGGTACTTCCTGAATAAACTGGATATCTTGTCTCCATTGTAAAAAATAACCTTTCTTTTAGGGCTATTGCAATAAACAAGCAGTATATATCTACAGAGAAAATATAAAGAAGACCATTATTTAGGCACAGGTCTTGTACCTATATAATTCTGATGGTGAACCTATGGCACGCATGCCAGATGTGGCATGCAGCGCCCTCTTTGATGGCACACGAGCTGTTGCCCCAGTTCAGCTCTGCTGCGCATGCGCACGCACCTCCCACCGGCCAACTGGTCTTTGGGTCTCTGCTGCACATATGCAGGGCACGTGGGGGGGCATGCAGGTGGCCGCATGCGCTGGGGGCACAAGCGCAGGGGTTGCACACACTGCATTTTGGGGGTTCAGGTGCACACACACACACACACACACACACACTTTGGGTACTCAGTCCGGAAAAAGTTAGCCATCACTACTATATAACATATAAATTGCCTACCAATATACTCATTCAATGCACCCTTTCCAGTTTATAACTTTGGGTGCCATTCTCTCTATCTTGTATGACATAGAACCTGCACTTTCAGGAAATGCTGTAAGTTGGGAGAGCAAAAATGATCCCCCAAATTACAAGGAGAACTAGGTTTAGATAAATAATATTTTTCATAGAGGCCTTAGCCTCTTATGAGAACTGAAACACTGGCTTTTAAGGATGGTATTTTGCTTGCTGAGCAAAGATAAAGGCAAAAAATCATTACAACAGAATATTATTGTGTGAAGTAGATACCTTCCTAAAAGAGGACACTCAATAGGATGCCCTTAGGAAGTTTCGGACTGCAGCTCCTATCAGCCCAGGTCAGTAGCTGGGACTTATGGGAGATATGTTCTAGAACGGGGGTCTCCAACCTTGGCAACTTTAAGACTTGTGGACTTCAACTCCCAGAGGAATTTTGGGAGTTGAAGTCCACAAGTCTTAAAGTTGCTAAGGTTGGAGACCCCTGTTCTAAAACATCCAGAAGCAACATTGTCCATGAGAAGTGGTTTTTTTTCCCTAGTAATGCTATTCTCTCCTTCCTAGGAATCCTGTCATCTCTTATGAAAGATGTCCAAAACAAATCAGATGGCTTTGCTTTTTCAGAAATCACTTCCTCCACCCATATGCAAACAATCAGGGAAGAAAACTGTTTCTGGGCTGAACAAATTACAGGACACTGGTCTTGGACTTCCTTTATTATCAGAAAATTGAGAGTCCAAACAACAAATAATTTCTGGCCCAAAATGCAATATCGCCAGAGAGTCCTTTGAAGCCGAAGACTTTTCTTCCAGGATTTCTTCTTTCTTTTCCACACTGTGGTCTAACCTATAATGGCTGGATTTCCAATGCCTATTCTACTACTAACCCAGCCAAACTCTGTTTAGCTGTTCTGAGATCAGCCAAGGTCGATTAGGCACTGTCATCTGCCAATAAATCTGCTCTTAAAGGTACAGTGACAGACTAAATTTGAAAAATTTAAAAAAAACCAAAAAAATATTTAGGGGAGGATTCCCTAAAACAGCATTTAGGAAAATTAATTGTCTAATAGAAATACTCAGGCTTCCAATTTTGTATTTCCTACATCCACAATAACCAAAGTATTATAGCTAATCTCTACCGTCTTGTTCCAAGACGGCTCCTCTTCTCTGTGTCCTCATCCCAAACTCTTAAAAATGTTTACACCGAATCCTCTAAGTCTTGGGGGGATCGGAGAATTGGGGAACTAAAGTCTTAAAAGTCTAAGAGTTTAATTCCCTGATCGAGATGGATGGTTCTAGGACCCTGAAGGCGCTGTCCCTTTCACTCGTTCTCACCTTACTTTCCACTGTGAGAATTTGCTCGCAGCACCGGGAGCTGCTTTTCTGCACAGAAAGCCTCAACGGTGGGAATAAATGAATAAGCACCCGAAGGTGGAAGAGAAAAGAAAGGGTTTTTTACAAAAACAAAAAACCCTCCCAACATTTCCAAAATACCTTCCCGTTGCAATGCATCACTGCAGTCAATTGCTACATTTTTGGGATGATTAGGGGGAAGGACTTCCCGGGTCAGGGGGAAGTGGCTTCCGGGCAGCTTTGAGCCCCGGCACCTTTTTTTTTTTTTTTTTTTTTTAATTTGGAAATTATCCGCTGGCAGAAGCTCAAGGGAAATAGCCTGCGGCATCCTTGGGCAAAGTTGCATTACCAGGATTCCTTATTTGAAACCATGGTCGCGAATCTTACTGGGATTGGTGTTTAGTGCACGCTGCTGGGCAGAACTTAATTTCAGCCAGGGCTCGACAAAGGTATAGTTCTTCCCTTTGGAGCTGCTCCATCAGCTGTAACGCCGTAGGTGAAGGGCTTGGGTTAAAGAATCTGGTTGCTTCCAGTTTTAGATCAGAGATCTCTTCCTGATAAAGACTTCTCTGCAACCTGCAAACTGGCTGGGAAAGGGAAGGAGGAAGCAAATTGAGGAAGGGTCTAACTAGTCTGACATGGTAAATACGTGCTAGTTTAAAAAGTCCACTGTTTTGGACGGAAGATAAATTGGGAGAAGGACCTTGTCAGAGTTGTTAACATTAAGGGAAAGGGGGGGGGATCTTGAGGCAGAAGCGATCAGAAATATTGTTCAGGAGTTCTGTTCAGGATTTTTTTTTTTTTTTTAATCTTCCTCCTAATAATCAATGGGCGGAGCAGATAACACTCCTCCCAGATCGCAGCTTCAGTCCGGCTCTTAGACAAATACAACCTGCGTTACTTTTCGGGGACTAAACTTAATTGAACGCAGCCAACCTTGGTCCTCAATACTATACACAGGCTTAGATGTAAAATAAATGGAATTAAAGGCTGGTGGTCCAGGAGGGGAGTGATAAAACATCTTTTTGAATGCCAAATTAATTTATTTTGTATTTAAAAAGCACAGGCTGTATCTAGTGCCTACATAAATATAAGCCATAGATATAAGTATTGTTTCAGTAGGGCTTATACTTAAGCAAGGGCATCTAGGGTTATGGTTTTATTACATCAGCGGAAGATACATGTTTATTACCCAAATTTATATACTGCTCCATCCCAAGGCACTCTTTCTCAAACACACACACTCCTACTCCATTCCACCCCAAGGATAATCCTAGTATCTTTTGTATCTAATTGTTTTAAATCTAGATCAGGGCAGGGCAGTTTGGCCTCTGTAAATTTTATTTATCTAATTTTGAGGGAAGTTACTTAAGAAAATATTCCAGAAAAAGGCAATGTTGAACCATATCTGTACTGTTGCCAAGAAAACTTTGATGGATGTAACACATTTCCATAGAATCAGTTCTGTCCAAAGAGACCTTTATCTTAAATTGTTTTATCATTGCAATCTAAACCTTCCTTGAGGCAAGTCATTTGACTCCACTTATTTGAGTCATCTGGACAGTCTGATAACAATGATCTTTTGCACAGTAAGTATAGCCCACCACATTTTAGCCTGCTTTGTGAAATCAACCACTGTGGTCAGTCTAATATTTGTACCCGGAAAATTGGATTGGGTTCATTATGGTTCAGTTAACCATGGCTTGTACATGAATGTAATGTTTTAATGTTATATTCAGATAAACATCACTCTTAAAAGCTTTTAATAGCAAATATGTTTCAGTGAAAGTAAAACTTCTTCTGAACAGACATTTCAAATATTCATGACAGCCTAAAATCAAATAGTTATGTTTTTCCTATTTCCCTACTGAGAAGCGTTCCAGTAGATAATTTCAACCCTTTTTCTCTTTCTAGGAACATTATATTCTGTTGGTGTTATTTATATTGTTCCTGAGCACATTCTTATTTCAGGATCAGTCTGACCCATTTAGCCTATGCTTATACATTTTTTAAAAAATTGAGGTGTTAAGATTCTGTGGCTATAGAATGGTGCATCATATAAAAATGATGTGCATGTATTTATAAAGAAGTTTATTGGGCAGACCTCTGGAAAAAGAAGGAGCCAGGCAGTCTGGATAGCTGATGGCTTGCTTTTGTGAAGTTAATGCTCTGTTATGGGGTGGGCTTTTGTTTGCAAGCACACCAATGGCCTGCATACTAACAGTTCCCCACTGTTTGTGGGAAATCTAAAATGGGTTGAGAGACCACATGGGTGCAATGAAGCCTAGTGAGTTGCACAACTCTGTTAATCTGAGCATGCTCTGAGATGGGGGAGGGATTCCTGAATAACAGGTTCAAGAAAGTGAGGACTGCAAAGGCTGGAGTCAACTAAGTCTTTGAGGAGGGGTCTTAAACGGTTTTTTTAAAAAACTGACATCAAGTAAAGCATTTGGAGTGGGCAAGCAAGCACATGCGGGACTGAATCTGCAGTTTTTGGTTGGCAAGGCTGGATCAGTAGAAGACTCAAAACTAGTAAGATTTCATTTTTTGTCTTCCCCCTCCCATATCTATTCTGGCATTGTACTTATATTTGAAAATATTCTTTTCTATTATATCTAGAGAAACTTTATAAAGTTTCAGATAGAATATCTGAATATCTAGAATATTCTATTTGAAACTTTTATTAGAAATTTTGTTCCATTAATATCTTGAGTATGCCTCAGTTAGCGAAACTGCTCTTTGGAACAATGAATTTGTTTGCAGAGAATTAGATATTGGTATGGTGGTCTAAAATCCTTATTAAAGAAATTTGGATACTTCTAAGAGTTACTTAGACCCTGTTGTATTCCAGCTTCCTAAGAATTTGATCCCTTCCTTCTCCAGACAGCAAGCAAGGAATATTTGGAAAGATGGATTAATTTTTAGTGAGGCATAAACTTCTAAATCCTAAATTTACTTTTGACCAGCATTGCATGCTTAGAAAAGGCACTTTATCTTTGTTACGTTTCTACTGATGGCTATTTATGATCTGTAAATTGAGATTTAATATAATTCTTGGTTTTGTCTTGATGGTCAACCCGAACAGAAAACCTTCCATCCACTTGTCACAGATTATAAAAGGAGTACATCTGGTTGATATTTTAAAAATGCCACCTCCAAAAGATCCTCTCTCTTTTTTTTTTAAACAACGATCTCATATTTTTAATGGAGGTAGCTAAAAAATACTACTACTGTATTTTTATTTACTTAATCATGATTGATTACATTATATATTATTGTTAGAATTATAATAGTTAATTCCACCATGATTTCACACCACTGAATTAGCACACTAAAAAATCTAGTCAGTTCTTTTTGGTACATGTTGAAAAAGTTTTGGGGTTTCTTGGCTCAATGCCCAGCCAGTAGAATTCAGAGCTGAATTAATACATAGTCTCTTGTTTCAGTTTGGGGTAATTTTGAGAATGAATTTGTGTTTCTGTTATTTCCTTTTATTTAGGAAAAAAATACTGCAAACATTTCTTTTTATATATATCTAATGGAGCAAACTTTTATCTTCTGGGTTTTTTTCCTTAAGCCTTTCTGTATTGTATTAAAAATTTCCAGCAAGCCTAGATAACAAAAAAGTTTGTGTTCATAATATCTAGTGCTGAATATGTGAAATGCTTCTATATGTTTTGGATTTCAATTTCCACCATTTCCATCAACCTAGGGCAATATAACTTAAATAACTACTGAATATAAAAACAACCCCATTGGATAAGACAAGGGCCCACCTTAGTCCAGCATATTTTTATTACAACTAGATTCCCCAATGATACTCAGAAGCAAGATATTATTCTGCAGTTGGTGTTTTGAATAATGCTGCCCTAGAGAAAGATTCATCACAACTTAGAATAATCAATTTTAGAAAGGTCCAGGCCAAAACTTCTGGAGGATGCCAAATTTCCAGTGCACAGGCTGGTACAACAGTTTTTTATATAAACTATGATCAATTATAAATTAGCTGGCCTCAAACCATGAATTATAAAACTATGGAAAGTTACATAAAACTAATAATAGCTTAAACCATTCCTTTCTGCTTCTTTATTTCCAGTCAAATTTAGACTTTAGTTTTAATAGCTGAATAGATTACTTTAATCAAAACTTTAATCAAAACATCCTGCTTTCTCCAGTTTAGCTAACCTGAAAGGAAAGTCATATAACACAGTCATTTTATGGTACTAATAATTAGTTTAAGTAATTTTTAATGCAGCTTGGTCAGCTTGGAAGCAGCAAAAGATAGATGAAATATATTATTTATTTTTCAAATACTAGCTTTATGTACCCTTTTCCAGCCTGCTCCTGTAATCATATCTAGTTTTCTTTTAATGTTAATTATAGTTATACATCTTATTGGGCAGTCAAGTCTGATTTGTGCTGGTAGCATGTATTGGGGCCATCAATTAACATATTAAAATAGGTAGTTCTATTGTAACTGAGTTTTAAAAATTTTAAAAAAAACTGTTCATATTCCTGTTTGTGGTGTCTTTGTCTATCCTTCTAGTCTGAGATCCAAACCATTCAAGGAATTTCTCCACTTGATAGCCTCTCTAGTTGGCAGACCAGTTATTGAAAGCTTCAGCAAAAGCCTACTTAAACTCCAAATCCAAATAAAGAATGAGGAGAAAAATAGCAGCAAAGCGAAATATGGTGGCCCAGTACTTCCAATGTCAGACACAATTTGAACAACGAGTGCAACCATTGGTGAAAATGGAAAAAGAACCAGACCCAGCAGGCTCTGATCCATTAGGAATGTCAGAAGGCTCAGTAAAAACATATCGTATTGTACCGGTAGGAACAGGAGGAGGAAGTCTCCGGCTAATAACACCACAGCAAACCAGGAATGAACGACTAGAGGCACCCCAACGCTGGGAAATCCAAGGGCAGGAATTGCCAACTCCAGAACTTACCCCAGTTCAATCACCTGCATGGAGGAATCTGCAAGTACCAGAACTTACCTTAACAGAAGACATTGAGACCTACTTGACTACTTTTGAGGATGTGGCTGAAGCCTGCAAATGGCCACGGGAACAGTGGGTGACCCGGTTGGTGCCAGCCCTCAATGGAGCTGCCCTCCAGGCCTACAACAGCTTGGATCCCAGAGAAAGTGGGGATTATGGGAAAGTAAAAGCTGCAATCTTACGAGAAGATGCTGTCAGTCTGGAGAGGCAAAGGCAGCATTTCAGGCATTTGCGTTACCAGGAGGCCGAAGGGCCCCGTGACGTCTGTTCTCGGCTGCGGGGGCTCTGCTATCGCTGGCTGGAGCCAGAGAGCCGCACCAAGGAACAGATTGTAGAGCTATTGATCCTAGAGCAGTTTCTGACTATCTTGCCCGAGGAAATGCAAGAGTGGGTTCAGGAATATCATCCAAAGACCTGCATTCAGGCAGTAACCTTGGCAGAACATTTTCTTCTGAAGCAGCAAGACAATGAGAGATGGGATCAACAGGTGAGCACTGGTCCAGCATGAAACCTGGGAGCTTATGTCCGAACATGCAATGTTTAAATCACTTTTAACAACACCAGCTTCTGTCTACACTCATGATAGAATCCAGGATTGGGGGGAAAAAAACTACTTTTAGGGAGCTGGTTGTTGCTGAATCATCCCCCCCCCACCCTTTTTTCTTTAGTTTTACAATTTTATTTAGTAGTGCCCAGCTCCCATGAGGAGGAACTTTCTCTTTTGTGTATTTTTTTTTTTTAAAAAATACAAATTTTACAAGCAGCTCAAAGAGTGACTCAGGTTTGATGTTCATAACAGAAATGGTCACGTTCCATAAAGGCCATTTGACACCTATTTCACAGGCAAGTGTTTATTTGATAACATCCCTAATGTCAAAATGTCCTATGACGAAAAGTTTAATGCTACATATATTTTAATAGTTTAAAAATGTGCTTACTTTATTTATATACAACTATTCTTTGAAGTATAATGAAAGTGATTTCTGAAACTGACCATGAAAATTCATTGAGCTGAAATTTTTACTGCTTTTTAAATGTCCTGTTTGTTCACAAAGAGAAAACAACTTGAAAGTGAGGAAGCGACACAGGGAGCATGTATTCTCTTACATTGTTTAACCACACAAGTATTGACACCCCTCTCCTTCACTAGAAAAAGTATTTCCTACCTTTAGAGCAGAGTGTCAGGATTCCAAGTAATAGATTCTGCAAGAACCTGAATGATTTAAATGAATATCAGCTGATACAGGCAACCTTATATACTATTAAAATTCACAGAAAAAGTACCAGAAGACTCTTGGAGAGATCCAGGTTTTGTTCATTTATGTCAAGCAAGTATGAATTCTGAACTACCATGCATAAATAAATAAAATAAAAGATTCCATGCATTTTGTAAGGTGTAGCAATTGGTAGCATCCAGCCCAGAATTGGCTTTGTCTGGTTAGGATTTGGTGACTCCCAGGTTTAGGTTAAAGTCAGCATGTGTGAACTGGTTTTTTCCCCCGGATTGACACCTATACAATCACACACACATATTTTAATCTATTTTACACCACTGGCTTCCCTAGTGACTAAAGATGATTGAAGATGTTTCTCATGTGTTGCTATTTGCATTCTACCTTTCCTTGACACTACTGTATCCCTCTGGTTGGTGTATTCCTTTGCCTTGAATGGTGTCTGTTTCAGGTGCTAGGGCCGTATATGCTTGAGGAGTCTGTGAATTTACCAGAAAGTGAGCAAGTAGTCTCAGATATCCAGCAGGTGCTGTGCAGAGAAAATAAGGAAGAGCTGAATGAGCATGCCTCCTCAGTAGGTAAGGATTTTTGAGACTCCAAATATTTTGGGTCAACTCTGGTAATACAGTCATTTAGTTAGGGATTATGGGATTGAAAATCAAGAGTATCTGAAGGGACCAAATTGGGCCAAAGAGTCACTCTGGACTAAGAAGATCCTAGTTCAAATAACTCTTCAGTCATAAACTATTTACCATATCTTATTCTGCAAAATTGTTGTGGAATTAACAACGGCTGCCAGGAAAAAAAAATCAATCTGTAACTAAATAATTTAAGTGTTCGTCTTCTTGCAAAAGTGAAGATGATGAAACTCTTTCTAGTGTATAGTTACATGAATAGTAATAACTTTTTTTTCTCTTTTAATCCAGCAGGTGATGAAATACAGACTAAAAATGAGGAAGAGTATCTGTTACAGGAAAGTTCAAAAAGACAGAGAAATCGCCTTCTTCCCAATTTGCAAGTGGCTCCCTTTGCTCACCAGACACCCAACAGTCAGCTAGCTTTGAAAAAACAGCCCTTGCACAAGCAAGAAGCGCTTTTCCCTTGCCCCGAATGTGGGAAGAACTTCTCACGTAAATCTACCCTCACCAGACACCGGAGAGTACATACAGGGGTCAAGCCCCATCAGTGCACTGAATGTGGGAAAAGATTCTTGCACAAATTCAACCTGGTGAACCACATGAGGACCCACGTGCGAGAAGAATCAAACCGTTGTTCATTGTGTGGGAAAAATGCAAAGCGGAATTCAGGGCAAGGGAGCCTAGAGCGAAAGGCTGGGTGTTGTGAATGCACAGGCAGTTCAGAACTACAGTACAGTGTGGAGCAGACGACGCAAGATGCAGGCGAATCCTTTAACTGACTTGAATCCTAGGAAGAAAAAGAGTATAGCTGACTTGAATGTGCAAAGAAGTTTTTAGGAAATAACTTTAAATCAGGGAAATGTTCCGTGCCCAAGATTCTTCTAGAAGCCAGAACCACTTTCTGGTGACAAGGCAGTTACCATAAATATTGATAGAAGAAAAAATGCCTTCAGTAGCTCAGTTCACCTATTGAATGTTTTGTTATTTGTTAATTACTAAAATCATCCAGGGGAAGGGAAGGGAGAAGAGCAGCAAAGTTGTAACCTTCATTGGTAATAGAAATATTTTCTTATTGATATCACAGTCAGAAGAAGAAAGCTAGACAATCACACAGCCAAAGCTAGTGGAAATTCAGCCCTATCCCTCCCCAGAAATCCCCAGAAATCAAAATGTGATTGACCATAGAAATGTGCAAAATGCTTCAAGGTCAGTACACTTTGATATCTGAGTATACTGAAAGCTGTCTGATCTTTAAATGAGTTTCAAGATTGGACCCCCTCTTGTATTCTTAGAAGAGATGCTCTCACGCCAGAATGGAACATTTCAAGGATGGAATGGTTTGACCTCAAAATGTTTTGCACACTCAATTGAAGGGCATATATTTAAATAAACTGCTCAGATTGTTGAGGCTCTGCAACTGGATACAGAATTTCTTTCGTAAATATCAATTTTGCAAACGTCCTAAACAATAAAAAATAAATCTCGCTTTCAGGTTAATCAGTCGTGTTCTTAAGTGCAAAAATGTCTTTATTTGCTCATGCATAAAAATCATATGGATGTATCCAGTCATATATTAGCTAATTAATGATTTATGAAATTTTTACAAATTTGGGCAAATTTCTAGGTAATACGTAATGGAATGTCACCTTAAAGGCCTTCAATCCAGTGCCTCTTTTGTGGAGATCTTGAAAATTCTGTATTTGAAACTGTGAGAGAGGTGTGGATTGTTCTGTTGATCTGTCAATTTTGTGTGTGTACCTTTTTTTTTTTTTAACAGTGCCTCAATAAGGGATGGTAAAATTCACAATATTTGTGGTTCATTGGAACTTTTTTATTAGAATTTTCTCTCCTAGGATGTTTGTTTTCCTGAAAATAGAATTGCTTTCCAAAAAACCTCACCAGAGTCGAGATAAAATCTAGAGAATGACCTGGTTTAGAAATGCAAGGAATTTGATTTAACTCATCTGAATTACATCTCTTGGAGAAGTTGGCCTCATTTCCAAGGAAATTTGCAGTTTGTGTTTGTCAGACAATAGTTCTCATTAGCACATGACAAACTTTTGAAATGGTGACTTTAAATACTGATTTGGCTAAGAATTGAGGAATCTTGTGTTTTGAAGATGGGGCAAAAATTAAATTGAGTGTACTGTAAGTAGTGGTTTTCTAATTTCATCTTCTGGCTGTTTGTAAATTCCTGTCAAGCACATCGTAAGTATTTCAGGGTCTTCTAACACTACCAATTTTAATCCCTCTAACACTGTTGATATACCAAAACTGCATGTTTGGAATTTTGCAATGGTTATAGCTGCACATGTAAATGTTAGTTTTTTTAAGAGAAAAAAAAATGTTTTTGTAATTTTTTTATTAAAGCTTTATTTTTTTCTAGTTTGCACATTAAAAGAAGTTTAATGTAATCAGAATTTATAGTTCTTCATTTCTCACTTAACTGGGAGTTGATAATTTTATTAATTTGTAGTTTAGCTATAAACTCATAGTTATGAATATATTAGCCATATGAAATACTTTGGGGATTGAATCACCTGCAAGCTCCAACTGAAACCACTGGCAGTGGATCTGGCATTTCATAGGACATTTCACTGGTGCCAAAATGACTTGCAAAATATAAACAATGAGTCATACAGGTATATAGGAATCAATCTAAATATAATGGGATTTATCTCTTAGTAATACATAGCATACAGATGCACCAATTATTCATTTTAAAATCCCATTAAATAAAATGAAATTTGTTTACTATATATCTTCACAGATATAGTGTATTCAAAACTTAGTGTGCAGATGTATGAGATTGCCATGCTGATTAGAAATTAGAGAATGGTAATTCCAACCCATCTGGTTAGAAAAGAAATGGATTTTGGCTAGATTTTTTAAAAATGGCTCTTTGATGCTTTATACATGGAGTAGAAAAGACTCCTTACATCCAATCTGCTGCCAGAAATCAGCAGACCACATCCATAATGCCCACTGGCAATCCAAATTCTATACTGAGAGTCCAGGTAACTCTACCATTGCCTCTTCAGCTAAATAAACAATTGCAGCAGCTATGTTACTCTATAAGAAAGAGAATGCAAATTCATACCACAAAAAGTGCATGCTTTAACATTTTCAGTACTTTTCATCAGCTAAAGTAGTACAGAAATAGAAACATTCCACAAAATTCAAAAAATTCTTTTTGAAAACTTTGGTTGTTTATAAAACAATCTTACTCAGTTCTGTATTTTAAATCTTCACATAGATACCGGTATCACATGTGATTCTTTGAATATGCAAAACATTCTACAATAACAATTGGGGGGGGGGGTTCTTCCAATCAGTTGTGTCTGTTTTTTGGAGACTGCCTAGACAATTCCCTGTAGTTTTCTTGGCAAGATTTTTCAGAAGTGGTTTATCAGTGGCATGGAATTCATAATCTTCCAATTTCTAATCTAATGCCTTAACCACAATACCAAACTGAGTATTGTTAGCGTGTGTGTATTTATAAATACACACAGAATCTAGTAAATAAAACATTCAGTACAACATCATCTAATCTAAAGACATGATAGCCAGAATGATATGATATTTGGGGTCTTGGATTGAGTCAAAGAAGACCCAGGTTTAAATTCCTACTGAGCTTTGCAAGAAGCTGTGTAACATCATGTCAGTCCATAGCAGTTCTCATAAATACTGCATGTTACCATGGTTTGCTTCATGATAATTTGTTAATTATTAAAATTAAGCAAAATAAAATTAGACTATTGTATGAGCCCAGACATTATCTCTCAACATGACCCAGCAGTTAATATACCAAATCCAGACTGCAAACATCTGGATGATTAATAGATGGTAAAAAAAACCCTAACTTTTGCTGCATCTGGATTTTTGCTCCAAGATCTGGTAGTCCTAATTTAGACTAAATTAAAATCTTCTGGTCTCCATTAGGCAATAGAGAATGACTAAGAAAGAAAAAATAGGAATCTGCTTGCCATGTATTAGCATGCTTTCTAATCTTTATCATGACCATTATTCCATCCAGTTAAATGATAGTAATATTTTTCTCCACTGAAAGATTTGATTGCAAGATACTGTCAAATATGATGTAATAACCAATTAAGTATTTGAATAGATAGGTCTACCACCGTTTCCTCCCTGAATTTTGGAAGTTAAAATATTTTCCCTACCCTAGGCACTTTTTAAATTTTCCGAATAATCCTTGACAAGTTCCTCATGAATGATAATACCACAATCTTCTTTTGTCCTTAAAAGCTCTATTGGCTTGTTAAGGACTTTCCAAAGAAGATACTTGCTAAAAAGATAAGCCTAAAGTAACAGCACCAAACACTTTGTTAACATGTTATATATTCTTCCCCCCTTTTTAAAAAAAGAATTGATTTAAAATTCTAAACTATTTGAACATGCCCTACAGGCTGATATTGCTTAAGATAGGGGGGTGGGGGTGGATTCCATGCAGAGGCCTGAATGAGACCTAGTCTGGATCTATGATGGGGCTATTCACAGCTCAAAAGTTTGGGGGAGGATGCTTACTAACTTGGATGTGCTTCCCAGGCCTCGCCCTTTGAGTTGTCCATTGTGGACAACTTTCTTTCTATTCTTTCTATTCTTATCACATGTTTCTGGATGATATTCCCCTAGTCATCTCTGCATATCCTCAGGCAAGGCAATCAAGAGCTGCTCCTTAATGAGACATTCCAAGATATCTTCCTTGTAAAGGATAATATTTGTAGCTCAGGGTTGACATGAAGGGTCCTTGGTGCACTCTGAGCTTGTTTTCTTACAGATATTTCATTACCCAAACTAGATAATGCTAGTCAGTGCTAGTAAGGAGTGCTGTATGCTGTCTGTTATATTCTGGTGGGTTGCCCTGCCTGTGTTGATGGGGATGGTCTTAGAGATTCTTTGGCTGGGCTGTTTACTGTTGGCTCTTTGGCAGTTTCTTGATTGGGATATTGTTCACTTGAAAGAAAATTAATCTAGTATCTTCCTTGGTGTGGTATTAACTTCAATTAGAACAACTAAATTCCCCAAATAAGCTATAAAACTCACAGATTCCTCAGTTTATGTTAGTGATGGAATTGCCAGGTGTCCCCCTCTCAAGATGGCTTTATTTTTCATCCATCATATCAGCTTTTGTATCTGTAGGCTCATCATGAGCATACTTGGCATCTCTGCTAAACAATGGCACAGCTGAGTCACCCACTTCACTTATGGGCAGGTCTGCAAACTGTAATCATTTACTAAAAGATAGCCAGGAAGATATTAGAATTGGCCCCAAGTTCTCAAAAATGTTTTCCAGTCAGGAATTTAGAATGAAAAATATTCAGATGTTTCAAATATGTCTTGAGGGGTAATGTTGATCATAGCACTGAAGATGTGATTTGAATGGGTAATAAAATATCTACAACTGAAAAGCCAAGAGATCACAACAATCTAACACATCAGTCCTGAGTTATGCAGATTCTCTGCCATTGCCTTAGATCCTGAAGTCATTGAATTGCTTGATTATTTGAGTTAGTTTATCTTTGGATAAAGTCCAGGTACGTGTTTAAATTATCAATATTGTACATGTATGAAGGCTTCCAACTGAAGCAGAACCAGAGGCTGGAAGTTCTCAAGTACAGCTTTACCTGAGACAACTTGTCTTAAAAACTCAGCTAGAAATAATTTTATAGCCCAGCAGCCATTAATGGATCTATGTCCCCAGTCTCCGTTTCAGAAAGACTTGGGAATGGAAAGAAGTATAAATATTTAAAGGACTCTCCCACTCTTCCATAAAATTCAGAATTAACCGATAAAGCAAGTTCTGGAATTTTCATAAAAGCTTCAGAAATCACTTTGATACATGCACATTATGGAAAAAATATTTTCAACAAGCATGTGCCTTTGAAAAAGCAGATATTAAGAGGAATGTATGTAGTAACATATGCAAGTGTTCATGTGGAATTTATAATAACTTAATTTAGCAAAAATGTCACAACATCAAAATAGTACTTGAGCTGTAAATTGCAGAACAGAGCAAGGGCACTGAAAAACCAGTTTTTATTCAAAGACATTTACATCTGCAGGAATAAATTGTTTGCAGAATAATCCATCCTGCCACTTATTGTGAGTTTCTGTTCCTACAAGAGAGGTGAGGTATCATACTTGAAATTCCATTTGCTTTCAAAAATACATAGTATAGTGGGTCTATCAGAGATCTGGCTCCTACAGAGTTCAAACAGGAGCTATGACAATCTAAATAATCTGAATACATATCAGATTCAGTGGGGGATGGGAGTTGCAGATAGCATGAGTGGTATAACCATCTTCTGTCTACTGTTCACAAATATTTATTCCCTGTTTGACCCAAGATCAAGCCACTGCTGCTGCTCCAATGAAATGACTTTGGAAACATTGTCACAGTAGATTTGGGGGTTTATTTTGGACCTGATAATAGGTATGACTGGTATACAGTAGTATACATAAGTGCAGTAAAAGACGTTTTTCTGTAGAGAGCAACTCTACAAGATAGATTGGGCTGAGAGAACACAATTAAGTCAGAGTTGTCCAGTATATTAAGGGGAACTAGCATCTGGGTTTCTTTGCTTATAGGCCAGTACCATAACTACTATAACATAATGATTCTGGATTTGGCTGCCTTGGGGCTGTTAAGATGACAGCATTGTTGGGCATGTGCAGTGTAAAAACTTGCTCCATACTTAACACATGCACAAAGATGTGCTTGCAGGTTGGCCTGCTTGGAACTACTATGTCCTTGAAGCATTTTCCCAATCGTTAAAGCTCGCTTTGCATGCAATAACAAATTCTTACGCTGCAAGAGTGTAAATGCAGGGAATTGCACCCTTGTCTCACCAATACTCCGAATGTCAATCTTCCCGACTCAAAGCCCTTTACACATGCCTAGAGGTACATGTCACCTCTTAACACTGCAAAATCTTTCACCTAAAATCCTTCAAGTTATTGTTTCCTCTCAGCATCCCTCATTAATTTTTCGACGTTGGCTGAGCGACGTCATTCTAAATCGATTGTTCTGCTGGAAGCTCCAGCAGGGGGAGCGTGCGGTTCGCCTTTTCTTTCGGCCAGAATCAGCAAGAGCTAGATGGAATGCCGGGGGATTATTTCCCCGAGCTCGGACTGCACCCTGGACAGGTAAAGATCCAAGACAGGATCAGGGACAGTCCGGCAGATATGGTTCTACCATACTGTGGAGTCCAGAAGGAAGGGAATAAAGTCTTTTGGTTAAAAGACAGCATAGGGTGCACTGCAGCTGGAATGGCTGGGGCTGGGGACCAGGATTCAGAATTGTGGATTGGTCGAATTTAGAAAAACATTCTATTTCTATTCCTTTTTTTTTTTTATTTGATTTATATGCCGCCCTTCTCTGAAGACTCAGGGC